CTCGCCCGAAGTGGTGAAACCCTCAGTTCCTGCATCGGTAGTCCTACGCTCTTCCACGGGCATTCTAGGGAGTGGCCCGGATTCCCGCACGGCAGCACCAGCAGTCAAATGTGCCTCTTCAGTGTGAGACAAATCACAAGAGCTAGCACCAAGTCTGGATGGGATCAGGCTGTTCTCAAGTGCAACAGGTGCATCATTGGCTGTTTCCGTTTCCACAGGCATTCTAGGGAGTGGCCTGGATTCCCAAGAGGAGCTACCGGAGGATCTGTCAACAGGTACTCTCAGTGTCTCATTGATGGGTGCATATGCATGTGCCTCATGACCAGGTGCATTACTAGGGCATTCAGAGCGGGCAGAACCTTGGAGCAAGGTCTCATATCCATGTTCATGTGGCCCTCTGGCATCGGGTTCATGACCAGCAGCCACGTCCAAAGGTGAAACCGGCCGCTTGGCTTGACCCCCATTGGAGCCCTCGACATCCGGATATGCACCTGCCACATTGGCCTGAGTGGCAATGAGGCCGGGGGGCAATGGCAATTCAGACGGTTGTGCCAACATCCAGCGATTGATTTCAGCTTCAGCTGCAGCAAATGCCCCAAAGGGGGTATTGTCATCTCCCTGGGCTTTCTTCCCCAAACCCCAAATCACAGGTCTTGGGGTGGTTTCACATGAGTACAGGTGAGCAACAAATGATGCTCGCATGTTGGTGTGCAGGGTTCTCAAGGAGGCCAAATCAGTCGGCAAAGGCATACCCATGACAACATGTGCAAGGAAACACATCGCAAAGGCTCCACACATTCCGTGTTCTGGCAAAGAGTCAGGGATACGGTGCAAGGCAAATGACATGAAACCCAGTGCATTGGAAATGTGTTCCACGATCTCTTCAACCCTGGAAAAATCAATGCCCTCAGCCTGAATCATATGAACTTGCAAAACCGTACACCTAGGAGAAAACCAAATCGGTATCCAGTGGTCATCAACCGAGAAAGCAGTAATCACATTGACTCCCTGCGATGACACCTCTCTATTCCTCTCACACCATTGTGCCACAATGATTTTACCAATGGAGCTCCAGCAGTTGTACACCAATGGTTCAAGAAACGTAAAGGATCGTCCTAACAAGGTGGAGGTCACCGGTTGCTTTTCAATCAAATTGAGCAGGTGAAACCGGACTTCATCATCAGCAACCAACATCCCTTTTTCATTCAAAAGGTCAATCCTCTGGTCCCTGGTAACATTCACTACAGGCACAACAGTGTCAGGGATGGGCGATTGCGGGGCAACAGGATCAGAATCGCCCGCCCCCCAAATCCATGGCCGATCAACAATGTCACACCCTTGCAGTGCAGCGGTATACCTGGCTCTGAGCATGGCATGAATCGCCGCAGCTTCATGGCAGTCGGTTGGGAGCAAGGTGCCCACCAACTCGGATCGGAGAAATGCAATAGCCAGAGATCCACACAATTCGGAAGTGAAAAACAGCCGATGCTCCCGTTGGATTAAGGCACTTTCAAAACCCAATGCGGCAGCAATCGCTTGGACTACGTGGTTCAGACCCTCATGAGTGGCTTCAGCCTTGTCCCAAGTGGAAGCATGCAAGACTTTTGGCACAGGGGTCATATAGACCGGGATCCAATGCTGAGCAATCAGTGCCACCGTCACAATTGGAATTCCTTGTTGAAGAATTTCAGGGTGGTCTTTAGCCCACAATCTGCAATCAAACCCTTTACCCCCAACCCATGACGTGAAAACCAAAGGATCAATCACACAAAGTGGCACTACCGGAGAGGTGCCCTTGAGTTGGTGGTCACGGAATACTTTGGTCAATGCTTGCAGGTGAAACCGGATCTCATCATCTGCCCAGTATTGCTGCTGGGCTTCCAGGATTTTGATCCTGTCATCCGACCTGAAAAATTGATGTCTGACTGACCAAAGCTGTTGGGTGGTGGTCACACTCGGCAATGACAGCTTTAAAAACTGTTCACCTTGCAAGTGCATGAAAGGAGTTGCATCCAACCATGGCTGATCACTGGCACCTCCCCCTGTGGGAAGGGTGCATTCTCCCACATCAAACTTGGAGATTTTCATCATTTTCCGAGGTGGGGAGGCAACCTCAACAGGATCCTGTATTGGTTGTGTCCAATCAGCCGTAGGTGAAACAATTGGGTCATCAGGAGCAGGGTAAACCACATCAAGCTTTCGAGTGCGGATTACAATCAACTGCCCCACTTCCATGACATGATCCAAAGGGATGGTTCTTCCATTCATCGTAATCGATTCAACATCCAAAGTTTCAACTAACTGAGCCTGTGCATGCAAAAACTGTGAGACCGTGGCGCAACACCTGGGTTGGAATCTGATGGGAGAGTCCTCAGAATCCTCAAACACCACTGTACACGAATCAGCTTGCATGCAGCCAACAGTAGTCGGGTCATCAGAGATGCTTGGGCAATCCATCCACGGGGTCGGTTCATCCGAGGCATCGGAAATGGTTTCAGGGACCCGCTCCTTGGATCTAATCAGGAAATCCAAAATTGACGCCACATGCACAGGACCAACGATTTTACCCTCCCATCTCAAAGGAAAGACAAGCTCAGCAATGGAGAGATCTTTGAATTCATCCCAAAAACCCATCATGGCCAGAAGCTTTGCATCTTGGATGAGCTCATTGTTTGGGGGCCAAACTTGCCGGCATCTCATTAACATCCAGGATCGATAGGCTTGAATCTGTGCATCAGGGGTGAACACTGGCATCTTTTGCAGTTCATTGAGTCTGGCATCCAAAAACCCAAAGACCCACAGAGCCTGAATCGGACTAGCAAGCTGGCCTACTGCAGACAACGTCAAACCTACAGCATCACCAAAGTCCAACACAGGGTCCATTGAATTCAACCCCATCGCTTCATTGGGGTGTATGTGTCTGATCAATGTGGACCCATCCAATTGCACGGCACTTCTAACCAAACATCCATGGAGACCCTTGGCAGCTAAGCGGCAAGAAGAGAAACCATACTGGCGGCATCCACATGGGCAGGCACGAAGTTGAGAACCCCAAGCATGGAGCGCACAAGGGGCAACTCCCTTCATGTTGAGCATGTGTTTGGCGTGCATATTGGAAGAAACCCCGAACGCTTCCAGTTCATGATCATCAAGCATCAATTGTTTCTCATCCCCAACATCCCAAAGCCTAATTTCCGGGATAATTTGTTGCACAGCCCAAAGGTTGTCAAGTGCTTTCCAGGGATACAATTTGATTTCACCCAATTCGGGGGCAGTGAGAAGCCACCAAGCCCGGTGTCTCCTGCATGGCCAAGTCTGGTCAAGGCGCAGCTCAATTTGGGAACAGGTGAAACCGGTTCTATTGCAAAACCCCTGAATCTCTCCTTTGACAAAACTATCTTGGGCTGCTGGCGCAACACATTCCAAGATAACAGCATAGGCATGAAGACACATGGCAGCATTCAAAGTCTTGGTGAGACAATTGGCCCTCGAGTCCAGTGCTCCTTTTCCATCCCCTAAAGATGAATAGGGCTGACAACTGAACCCTGACGCAATCACTGAAGCCCCTCTGGATGCTTTCCATATTTCAACAATGGTGTCCTGGGTTCCGAAATCCCCAACAATTCCCACAGCATCATGAACCTTGGTGTGCAGTGAAACCATATGTTTGTTTTGGTCGACGGCTGTGACCACCTCAAACCCAGCAGCTGTAGCACCCTGGGCCAACCCACCAAAACCACAACACAAATCCACCACGGAATGCAAAGAGGTCCAGGTAGGAACATGATGTCCAAGCACCTGAGTGTCCTTTGTAGCAGAAACAATCGGCATAGGGAATTGCTGACGTAGGCAAACATTGAGGAGGGTGAAAGAGTGAAACCCTCCCGTCAAAAGCCCCTCAAAGGCAAATTTGGTACCACCATACCTTGTCTGCATGAGGTGAGACGAGTGCACCAAGTCAAAGATCAGAACCTTACCAATCAGGTCAAATGTAGCCCCAATGTCAACTTGCGAAAACTCCATGGGATTGCACGACATGGCCAAACGGATGGAAAACACACCGCCCAAAGTTCGGTTGGGGCGGCCGCACCCCTGGCAGGATTTGGGCAAACACGGCTGTTCCAAACCACCAACCAGATGGAGTAGTAATGATAATTCCTAATGATCCAGATTGAACCAAGGACTAGAAGAAGTTTTTCAGAATCCTCTACCACAATCAGCCTCATATGCTCTGCGACTTCAGTCCATATCAAAGCCTACTACAAATGTATAGGAGCGCCTATGTGAACTCCATCATCAGATTGCTGTTTTCGCTCACGGACATACGCTTCCTTGAAAAGGATCTTGTGATGTTTCCGGGTTTCCAGTTGCCAGCTTTCAACGGTTGCTCACAAAACTCGATATTTCTTCAAAGATTCGTGGCATCAGAAAATCATCCCACCAAGTTTTGCATTCAAACACAGCACTTTGGGAGGAATCCCCTAGTATTCAACCAGGTTTTTTTCAATCCTGGCTGCACAGCCTGGATCCCAGGGGTCAAGTCCGGCGCGCTCCGGCTGTACTCCCTACACTTACATCGAGACCCAGTGGTGCCCCCGGCCGCATCGCGTACGAACTGTAAACCCTACTGGCTGCTTCTGGTTGCAAACCAGAAAATGGGGAAATTGCTAGGGATCATTTGTAGAACCTCCCACCCACCAAGAAAAAATATCAACAATTATAAAACTGACCACTATTTCAGGAGGAGTTCACTTTTCTATCGTTTTGGGTGGTCTGCGGGGTCTGCTATGGGTCACAAACATACACAAACCAACACCATCGGACTTTCAACAGAGGAGAATTTGGAATGTAGGCACTTCAACCAACCAAGATATGGATGTTCAACTAAGAATCCTTGGTTGGTTGGTTTCCCCCGGCCTAACATCAACCGGGTCTTTTTTTCAAAACATGCCAAAATCCACGCGGCCACGCTGCCACTCACCATCGGATTCAACTTTCGGTCAAGCCCAGTGGGCGCCCTCCATCATGACCTGAGGGACCCCAAAAAGATGGAAAGTGTGAAAAATCCTCCTGAAATAGTTGTAAGATGTGGTAAGATGTTTTCTGAGTTATACAGTTATACATAGTTATACAGTTATACTATGTTATACTTGTCCATGTGGCTCATGTGTTTTGAAGGCACCTTAAGATCCTTAAGCAGTGATCGTGGTCATGGCCTATAAGTACTGTAGGTTGTATGAATGGGGATTGAATGGATCAATATGGAATTTTCAATCAGATGGAAGACCTTCTGCCCTGTTTCCAAAATGAAATCATTCACCAACCATTCACCAAGATCTATCCTCTTCAACAAAAATTAGAGATTTCTGCATCTTGATGTTTCACATTGTTTAACAGTTTAACCATGTACTTAATATCTTAATCATGGCTATTGAGCAAAGTTTCTGGGTGTTATTCCAATGCATCCCATGCAGGATGTGGACAGGGCTTCACCGGGGGAAAAAAAATTAGATTTTTTGTATTGAATCATATTGAATCATTTCAGAAATGGTTCGCGGCTTCTTTTCTTCACCAAAAAAGCTCATCATTCTGGGACAACCTACCCTCTGGTAAACTAACATAGCTATGGAAAATCACCATTTTTCATGGGTAAATCCACTATAAATCACCATTTTCCATAGCTATGTTAGTTTACCAGAGGGTAGGTTTTCCTGTGTTTCGAAACCTGGGGCGCCCCCGCAGGTGGAGGAGCTCCCAAACTGCCCATGACGCCAGCGATCCCTGCACCCTGGCGGCGCCAAAAACGCAAACCAAAAACCCACAGAAGAAAGGGTGCTTTGGTGATTTGGGGATGGGTCAAAACCCTGGTACCTAGTGAACCCCAAAATAGCTGGTAAATGATGGTAAATGGATGTTCATCCCACTAAAAATGTATCTATAGGTATTGACCCGTACCCATTTGTTGGATGTTAAAACCCTAGTGTTTTGGTGAACAATGTGCTGTTTCTTGGATTTTAAATTCCACAAAATTTAAGAGTGATAAATGGTGAGTTTGAATTGTGAGAAAGATGTTGGACTGTGATTGTGGGTGTAGCCAATAAAGATGTGGCTTTAACCATTACCAATACCAAAGATGTGGATGTCAACAAGAATGTGGAATTATCCAACCGACGTGAGGGATTCAAGGAACAAACATTGGGATATAGCCTGATATAGCCAACAATTACATCAATGGTTCAATAGTCTATAGCTGCATTTTGTCATAATTCACCCATCTGAAATGTTGAGTCATCTGGGGCCTGGGGTGGTCATATTATATGTGTATATATATAATTACATATGAAACCATCATCTACGGTGATGCCAGTGAGGTCTCGTTCTACCTTGGCGGAGTCAACAAAAATGATCGAATCCGGCTTTGGCTTTGCATCTTTGTCTTTTTTGTTTAATCTGGGTAAATTATAATATTTCACTAATCTGAATTGTTGGGCCATTTTGGGATGAATCCTCTTAACCAGGATTTCATGTAAATTGGAAACATGTTTTCCAACTTTTTACAGCTCCAGCGTTTACGACTTCGCCCGCAAAGTGTGGTCAACGATCCCATGTGGTCGCGGTTGGATGACTACAGTAGTTGGATGAGTCCTTCCCCATTACAATATGTCTTTGGAGCCAAAAGAATCTGGTTGGTGGTTTCAACCTATACCTACCCCTCTGAAAAATATGAGTCAGCTGGGATAATGAAATTACCAACTGAATGGAAAAAAAAAACAACTTGTTCCAAACCAGCAACCAGGAATTGTGGTGTTACCTCAAACAACCAGCTCTGACACTGCCTCACATGACTCACATGTTGACTCAGACTCACATCTGGAGAAATTATCATAGTTTAATTAATATTTTACAAACCTTAGAAGTTCGGGCCATTTGTTAGTTTTGCCACAAATCATCACTTCTACCCGTCCCACTCCACTCTGAGCGACTGGTGCAGCGCTGGCTCCCTGTGCCACAGAGACAGGCTGCCAATATCCTCGAATCACCGAAGGGTCTTGCCTCGGAGCTGCAATTTGTTTGAGGAAATGCTGTTTCATTCGTTTTTTCCCTTTATGTCTTCGGCATGTTGGCCCAATGTTTTTGGCATATGGTTTCCAATATGTTTGGCATATTATGTTTTCCCACCAATGCCTTTGGCATATTTATTTTTGGCCTGTATTTTTGTGGAGGTCAGAAAAACAGTGTTGGGCATGAAATGTGGAAAATACATAGAAGGCACGTGGTGTAGGGAAACCAACAAATTCGAGTCTTTCCTCCCCAACTGTACTGTTTCAGTGGATAATCACTAGTGACTCTTTCCTGCTTTGACGGGAACGGCGGTAGTTTCAATCATGCATTTTGGGGCTTCAAGCACTGGATTTTGGTGGCACAAAGCATGACTCGCCCGTACCCACATAAAGCTTGCATTCACAATCATCCACAGGCATATGCAATCCCAAACATAGATCATACATGAGCCCCCCACCAAGTTAAGGCCCACGTGAACAAATCCTTCAACCAGAGCCGGATTCTTACTGATGGCAACGAAAAGGCTGATTTGGCCGCCAAATCTTTGGCGAGCGATTTCTGATCAAACTTGCCAGTGGTCAAAGATCACATGTCAAAAGCAGTGGATCTGCAAACGCACAGATCAAATCTATGGACTGCTCCGTAGATCCGAACGGCCTGCTGTGTTTCCATGGCTCCTCCAGTTGAAGATTTCGTCACTCGCAGCATTTCTCCAGTTGTGGGTGCGTATCCGATGTTCGACTCAGAGCCAGGACTCACAAGTGTGCAACGCTTCCCAGATCTCGGCGCCCGTCCCGGGGCGCCATCACTGGTGGGTGGTTGATCCACCCCTCTGAAAAATGATGGAGTGAAAGTCAGTTGGGATGATGAAATTCCCAACTGAATGGAAAATAAAAGCCATGTTCCAAACCACCAACCAGATCAACTTTGGAGCGCAATCAAATCCCACTATGCCAAATTCAAAGAAGCCGCTGAAAATACTGTGATGTTCCCAACCGATTTTGGTAATCCTTGTCCTCAGGCGGTTCGTAAAGGGCTGCGCAAGTACCCGCTTGAATATGCTAAAGCTGTCATCCAGTATTTGCAGCAGGCACAGATTTCAGTTGATTCTGGTCCACAGGCTTGGGATATTCCTTGGACCCTTGTGTTTCTATAGACTTCGCTTCGCAATGTCCATCAGTTATTCAGACCTCGACCTCCAGTAATCTTCACGCACTAGTTTGCCAGTTTCGTGCCAGGGTTGTTCGCCTTTGCAAAGTTCTTCATATTTCTCTTCAGCCTTATACTGCTACCTTCTCGACCAGTTTAACCTGGGCCGCCTCAGCGGATTTGTTGGGAGTTTTTCTCCTGTCGATTCTCCTCGTCTTTGGTTTCTCCTTGTCGATTCTTCCTTCCAGGTTTCGACCTCTATGAGGGTTAAACAGTATGTGTTTATTCCTCTTGATAGCGCGTTGAAAACCTCCCTCGGGTAATCACTCAATTTGCATCATCGCTTCAGTAGCTGAGTTTTCTCGTGCGGACCTCAGTTTTGGACAGCAAAAGGTAACAGTCTCATTTCTTAAAATTTCTTCTGGTATGATATCATATTATATCTTCATATCTTTGCCTGGAATACTCCCATGTGCTGCCTGTCCAAGCTTTCGTAAATTCGTGCACCAAACTCTTGCTGCCACCGGATCTTCGTTCTGTAAAAATCCAATTTCTTTTATGCTGCAAACCCTCCGGTCAAACATGGCTAGCTGGGAGTCCTCTCCTGTAACTGGATGTTTTACTAATATTTTTACTGGGAAAAAAACATGTAAAAACTCATGGACTTTTGCCATGACAACGGGAAAATCCTCATCCCTTGGTGCTTAAGTCAGTCACAAACTTCGGAACCCCACATGGTTTGGAGCTACCCCAAGTTTGAAAAAAAACTTGGAAGTATGGCGACCTAAAATGTGGCAGCAAGGGTGGAGGATTTTGAATGATACTACTGTAATCAAATCATTAAAGTGGGTGGGGGAAATGCTAATTATATAATGTAGTCTTTTTTGCTGGTGACGTCCCAATTTCTGCTGGTGAAATTCCAATTCAAACGATTAAAAAACCGTTTTAAACCGTCAAAACCATATTTGTTCATTCTCGGTCATTGATTTCCCATCAAGTATCGACCTGAAAATTTGCTTTGGAAAATATATGTTTTCAGAATTTTCAGGTACTGTTAATCATCGAACTATGTGCGCCATGTTCCATAGCTATGTAACAAATTCCCCAATTCACTTCGATGACTTCCCAGCGACAGAAAACCTCCATCTGCTTCGAGGATTTATTCGTATCAACTCCATCGACTAGTTCGACATATCTGGTATGTCCCACAAGAAATTCCCATTAAGATCCCATTAAAATTCCATTTAATACCCGTGCATACACATGTTTTTAGTATTAATCCCAATATATTCCCATTATAATCCTATCAATGCCCACTAAATCCCATTCAAATCCAATTACAGAAACTACAGATATATCTGTTGTATCCCACTATATTCTCATGAATATCTGAATATCCCATTAAAACCCCCATACCCTCTGGTAATCAAACACGGGAACTGAAAAGTCTCTATTGAATGACCGTTTAAATGAGAACATCATTAGAATAAATGCTTAATTGTGGGTTTAATCTCATGAAAATCCCATTAAAATCCCATGAAAATCCCATTAAAATCCCATGAAAATCCCATTAAAATCCCATGAAAATCCCATGACAATCCCATTAAAATCCCATGAAAATCCCATTAAAATCCCATGAAAATCCCATTAAAATCCCATGAAAATCCCATGACAATCCCATGAAAATCCCATGAAAATCCCATGAAAATCCCAGGGCATCCCCAGTTGTTGTGGGCGCAAACTTCACGACTCGGCTTCGCCACGGGAAGAGCGTGGAGTCATCGAAGGCCCACCCACGACCATCCGCCAGACGGAGGTAGATGCGGCCGTCCGCACCCATGAGCTCCTCGAGCCGGGGAAAAAATGGATCTGGGGCCGTAAAAAAGATGGGATTTACCCTCTGGTAAACTAACATAGCTATGGAAAATCACCATTTTTAATGGGAAAATCCACTATTTCTATGGCCATTTTCAATAGCTATGTTAAATTACCAGAGGGTATGAAGCAGCTATGATGGATAAGAATGTGGATCATAGGCAGGTTTTTTTAATGGATTGTCATAGTGGATTATTATGGATTACAGCTATCAACCTTCATGAAATTGGGGAAAATGAAGAGGAATCATGGGAAAATCATCATTTTTATGATATGTTGACAATGAAATAACCTCCTAAGAACCATTTCCCAGTTCATTGATCACTCCTCCACAACCCCTGATTCATTGACCGTTATTTTCATCACGTATCTATCACATTTGTTCTTATTGCCGACAAATGAAAATTGTGCTTGATAAGTGATGAAAAAAATAAGTGGTTAAGTACGATGTATCCACCAGAAAAAGGTAAGCGATTAGTAACGTCCTAAACATTATAGATGACTACTAATTTTGATGTTAGTTAGTGGTCACTATACGTAGAATAATGTCCTTCATATAATAATGTTTATATAGTGGTGAATTCACGAACGTGCCATTCACTAAACATTAGTTCTGGTTGGTGGTATACCTACCCCTCTGAGAAATATGAAAGTCAGTTGGGATGATGAAATTCCCAACTGAATGGAACAATAAAATCCATGTTCCAAACCACCAACCAGAAATCCAATGATTCAGCTACCCAAATTGCTATGGTTACAACTATCACCCCCGGTTGGGTTTCTATGGAAAGTCATAAAAGTCATGTTCCAAACCACCAACCAGAAATCCAATGATTCAGCTACCCAAATTGCTATGGTTACAACTATCACCCCTGGTTGGATTTCTATGGAAAGTCATTTTTAAGCCATGTTCCAAACCACCAACCAGTCATTATTAACCATGATTAACCATCATTAACCATCATTAACCATGTTTATGCTTGGTTTTCCCACAAATTACCATTTCAAATAGGAGGACCCAGCTGACTTCTTCTCCACTGATGCCTCAATTCACGTGGTGATCAAATCGGGAAATCTATAAATCGAGGCTTTTAAATGGCACACCGAACCCAGTGGGTACCTGAATGAAACCATTGAAATTTCTTGAAATCTATCATTGAAATCTATAAGTTTGATAAAAACTCACAAAAAAATGAATTGATGAATTTGACATAGTATGACATAGTTTGATCATGTTTGACCATTTTTTTGACCTATTTCTTTCAGTCGTTTCAGGACCTGGTGAGTTCCTAGGTTTTCCAATCACGGATCCTCGGCGGCGGCGAAGGTGGCGTTTTGACACAGGGTTTCACCAGTTCTCGGTGCCTGGCTGCAGATTCTTCGGGGAGCGTGGCTGGGTGTTGCCTACCCTCTGGTTATGTCAAAATAGCTATTGAAAATTGCCATAGAAATAGTGGATTTTCCCATGAAAAATTGCCATTTTCAATAGCTATGTTAAATTACCAGAGGGTAAGCCAGGTGATTTTCCCATCAAACATCCTGTAAAAATGGGCCAGCGAAATCCGTGTGTCACCAGTTGATAGATGGTAAACATCCCATTATGAAAACCATAGTTGATAGTTTTTTAAAACCATAGTTGATGAAGGTTAACATGAATATTAACCATAGTTATCTATAGCTGGTTGGTGCACAACGATGATCCTTGAAACCGTTGAAACCCCAAACTTCACTAAAATTCGATGATATGGGGAGTCAATTGAGTCAATGATAATCTAAACCAGGGATTACTGATCCCTTCGGAAGACAGCATTTTCCACAGTGAAAAACCGAGGTTGCGCCAACAGGCGCAGGGCTGGCGTCAGCTGGCGTAGCAGGATCTCCCCAGTCTGGGTGAAACTTCACGGCGCAGGGCACATCTGCCGAGCATCCTTGGTCTCTCCTCAACATGGTTAATATATGGCTAATATATGGCTATTATATGGTTAATGATCTTGAATAATATGGTTTATCAATGATTACTGTTTGGTGGTATACCTACCCCTCTGAAAAATATGAGTTCGTCAGTTGGGATGATGAAATTCCCAATATATGGAAAAACAAAAAGGGTTCCAAACCACCAACCGGTTGTTGTTTCTCCCCCTGATTTGTTTGGCTCCATTCCCGCCGTTGCTAAACCCAAATTCATCTTGATATTCTTTTCTCATTGGCTACCCTGCAGCGCGCGCGACGCGTGCTACACATTGCTACGCCCTGTACAACGAAGTGGGACGCTCTACCGCTGGAGCGTCGAAGATTGGTGCGGAGTCGAGAGCCTTCAACCTAGGGATATCGACCATGTCGTGGGAACCAATCTGGCTGATGGTTAGGCCAGGCTCCCCAAAAGGTGCGCGCCTGGTCTGACAAGTAAAAGGCTGGACTTTTAGATGAGGGTTGATTCAAATGTTTATCGCATATACAGCGGTTGAATTCTATTTGTTAGAATCATGAATTGTAGAAGAATGAAGTATTTATTCAATGGATTGGTTTGTTCGGGAAAATCTTAACCGGAATCCATAGATTTTCCCATTAAATCTGGGGCTTTCCTGTAAATATTCCCTTAAACCAATCCATTGATTTATACATCTTTGACACCACCGTTGCCAACCTACCCAAGGATCTCCATCCCCTTCATCCATCCAACTTCTAACACGTCTAAACCGTCCCCTCTTCAGCAGCTGAATAGGGCTTTATCAGCCAGCGCTGTTGTTTTACAATATACCCAAAATGACTACCCTCTGTCTGGTAAACTAACATAACTATGGAAAATCACTATCTTTAATGGGTAAATCAACTATAAATGGGCCATTTTCAATAGCTATGTTAAATTACCAGAGGGTAGGTCCACTAATTACATTCCACTGGGTTTTTGTGGAGCAGCATGTCGAAATTGGGGAGACTCCTTGCCCGAAAAAGCCGCCAAGCATCCCCCCTTCAGCTTGTCGAAATCCAGCAGCATAGCCTCGGCAAGTTCGACACCAGCACTGTAAGCGTCACTCACCGAAAAGCCGCGGGCCCAGTCGCCTCCGGCACGGTGAGGTCCATGAATGTAACCACCACTCATTCGATGGCGGAAATTAGGGTTGGATGTCTATACATGGTTACATGGTTCTGGGCAAATTATCATAATTCACTAACCTGAAATAAGGCCATGATGCCATGGCATGTTCAGGGTCAGTGTATCAGTGGAGTCGACATGAAAAAGACCAGATTTTGTTGGATATAGTATAATATTATATTGCAATAATTAAATTTAATTGATCAATATTAATCATAATTAGTTGATTTTTTGGACATGGATATAATGGGTACTTGTTGGTTCCAAACTGCAAGTTGGGCGATATTTTGCACGCAGCCTCGAAAAATGCACACGGAGTAGAATCACAAGCTGCTAACCAAAAGACCAGAAGACGCCAAAGTACGCAGGGTGTTTGGCAAAAACACACCTTTGAGGATTTGCAAATCTTCATGAGCTATTGTCAAGCTCTCAAGACTCCTTGGAAGGTTCACTCCTTCTAGGCTCTGGTTGAACCTAGGGCCGAATGTCAAGCTCTGAAGATTGCTTGGCAGGTTCACTCCTTCTAGGCTCTGGTTGAAGCTACCGCCGAATGTCAAGCTCTGAAGATTGCTTGGCAGGTTAGCTCCTTCCAGGCTCTGGTTGAAGTAATGCCCGAATGTCAAGCTCTGAAGATTGCTTGGCAGGTTAACTCCTTCCAGGCTCTGGTCGAAACAAAAGCCGAATAACAAGATCTGAAGATTGCTTGGCAGGTTAACTCCTTCCAGGCTCTGGTCAAAACACCAGCCGAATGTCAAGCTCTGAAGATTGCTTGGCAGGTTCACTCCTTCTAGGCTCTGGTTGAAGTCATGGCCGAATGTCAAGCTCTGAAGATTGCTTGGCAGGTTAGCTCCTTCCAGGCTCTGGTTGAAATCATGGCCGAATGTCAAGCTCTGAAGATTGCTTGGCAGGTTAACTCCTTCCAGGCTCTGGTTGAAATCATGGCCGAATGTCAAGCTCTGAAGATTGCTTGGCAGGTTAACTCCTTCCAGGCTCTGGTTGAAATCAGGGCCGAATGTCAATCTCTGAAGATTGCTTGGCAGGTTCACTCCTTCTAGGCTCTGGTTGAAGCTACCGCCGAATGTGAAGCTCTGAAGATTGCTTGGCAGGTTCACTCCTTCTAGGCTCTGGTTGAAGTCATGGCCGAATGTCAAGCTCTGAAGATTGCTTGGCAGGTTCACTCCTTCTAGGCTCTGGTTGAAATGATGGCCGAATGTCAAGCTCTGAAGATTGCTTGGCAGGTTCACTCCTTTCAGGCTCTGGTTGAAATCAGGGCCGAATGTCAATCTCTGAAGATTGCTTGGCAGGTTTACTCCTTCTCGGCTCTGGTTGAAGCTACCGCCGAATGTGAAGCTCTGAAGATTGCTTGGCAGGTTCACTCCTTCTAGGCTCTGGTTGAAGTAATGCCCGAATGTCAAGCTCTGAAGATTGCTTGGCAGGTTCACTCCTGCCAGGCTCCGGTCGAAAATACAGCCGAATGTCAAGCTCTGAAGATTGCTTGGCAGGTTCACTCCTTCCAGGCTCTGGTTGAAGTAATACCCGAATGTCAAGCTCTGAAGATTGCTTGGCAGGTTCACTCCTTCTAGGCTCTGGTTAAAGTTACAGTCGAATCTCAAGCTCTGAAGATTGCTTGGCAGGTTAACTCCTTCCAGGCTCTGGTCAAAACACCAGCCGAATGTCAAGCTCTGAAGATTGCTTGGCAGGTTAACTCCTTCCAGGCTCTGGTTGAAATGATGGCCGAATGTCAAGCTCTGAAGATTGCTTGGCAGGTTAACTCCTTCCAGGCTCTGGTTGAAATCAGGGCCGAATGTCAATCTCTGAAGATTGCTTGGCAGGTTCACTCCTTCTAGGCTCTGGTTGGAGTCAGTGCCGAATGTCAATCTCTGGTTGGAGTGCCTGCCAAATGACAACATTTCAAGAGTCTGTGGGAGAAGGTCAAAATGTACAGTAGGTGCACCTACGATCTGCGTGAGCCCCTGTAGAACAAACTCTCCCTCAGGGACTGGAGATCCTTGCCTCTGGATGAAACAGTAGGCTGCGTACAAATCTGTTGGAACAGAAGTGCAAGAGAGTGTCGTTGCCTTGCCCACAATGCCTTGCTCTTGCAGTGTTTGATGGAGCATGAGCTGCACACCAAGGTACTGCAAGGTGAGTTGTTCGCCTTTCTCTGGTTGAAACTGCTTTGAGACCAGCCGATGTACTTCGCAACCCAAAGAGCAAGAACTAAGTTTCAACATAAACCCTTCACCATTCAGCCGTAGTACATGAAGATCAATCAGCTCTGAGTCACTGGGCACCACATCGCCGGCACAACTGCAGGGAGCACCGGTGGACATCTCTGCCGCTCAAAAGCTGGTACCGGGGACTTCAACATATTTGAAACCACCAAGCTGGGAATTTCTGGGATCAATGATCAATGGTTTCAATGGCTTCTCCCAATTTTGATGAGCAAACAATGATAGTGTGCAACAAAAACACTAAGTCACCTGCCGCGGCTAGGAGGGAAATATGGGAAATCCTTTGTGCCTGGAAGACGGATGGGGTTGGGATCAGGTCTGGTGTTGCATCAATCTATGCTGCGTCTGTGCTGAATATCAGCCATCTCGGACCTTTTTTTTCATCCACACTTCCCATGAATCATGGCCTACCATAGACATCCATATAGTGGAGGAGATAGTAGACTAATGTAGAATATCTATGGTAGAAAGCCAGTGGATATCTATGCCATGGTATAATTTATAAATATACCCTCTGGTAAACTAACATAACTATGGAAAATCACCATCCATAGTGAGTTTCCCCATTAAAAATGGTGATTTTCAATAGCTATGTTAAATTACCAGAGGGTATATCCACAGGCTTTCTCCAGATAAATTTTGCCGTGCCGCAAATGTGACTCCCAGTGTCGATGATCTTCTTGCCACGGTCCAGTTGCTTTTTTGAGCGGCATCAGACTTTCCAATTGCTGTATATATAATATAATATTATATATATATACATACATACATTAACTACATATGGACCCAAAAGCGATAGAACATAATTTCATTACTATTTGAGTCGGATGTTTCTTGTCATTCTTTTTTGGGAGTTCTTATCCGCCCACGTTCCTGGGCTTCGGCCGTTGATTGAACCCAAAAAAAAACACCAGTGAAATCCCTGTGCAAATAGCCTCATGTGTCTTCATTGTTGATAAACATGTGTAATGATTAGTAATCATGATGACAATAACACAAAGTGGTGTCCCGGATTATCTTTCTTGGTTTATAAGCCATATAAAGATATAATGATATCTATATATATATATTATGATTATAATATTAATATGTTATATAAATATCTACCAGTACCATAAGTATCTACTGAACTAAACACAGTTAGCTAGCAAACTGGGGTGGTATGCCTAATCTACAATAACCCCCTCCCTTTTGACATGGGTTCTATGAACGCTCAAGAATTGAAAGTTCATGATTGGGTTTACCACATTGTCAACGGCTCAATTCATGAAAATTTCATCAGATCCCCGCGCAAATTGTGTTGGATCATAGAATATGTTAATCCCTGTCACATCCCCATGATATTCCCATGATATCCCGTGATTTCCAATGGACTTTCCGAAATGAATTCCCCCACCTTTTTTAGGGACCATTCCCCACAACATCGACTACACTTGCACAGATAAAAAAGGGTAAGTTCGTCTAATTGGAATAGGATCACGGGATATCACAGGGGGTTATGGATGGTTGTGGTAAATACAACTAGAATAATCTATAATAAGTTAATAATAAGTATAACAACTACAGTGAGATGGAATTATGAATCAACTTATAACTGAAGGGCACCACCTTCTGCGAACCTTAGGGGTAGGTTCAGCCTACATCAACCTACAAGAGTAGGGAACACCAATAAAGTCAGAGCGTGGCAAACAGACTTCGGGGCATGACCAACAATGGGACCGGACAATCAAAAACAGGACAGAACAAAAAAAAAACGGAAGGAAACCTACAAGGTGGTGCCCCATAGTTAGCTAAGTTGGTTTATAACTCCCATAACTATTATTTATGGCAGATATAACTATAGTTAATGGGGTTTATAAACCAACTTATAACTGGGGGGCACCATCCTGTAGCTATACCAAGCTATACCAAGCTATACCAAGCTGGCAATTTTCGATCCATCGAAGTTTGATCCAACGACAAATTCTCTCATTTTGACCCCCATGGCTATGTCACATCTCCAATGCAAAGACCTGTGGGATGCGAAAGATCACAAAGATCCGGAATGGCTCGTTTGCACGGCTGTGGTGGCTTCAAACTTCCCCACACCCCTTTGCAAAACATATTGCAAAGTCACATGAAGCCCCACTATCTGAATTTGGAAAGGTAAAAATTACCAACCTATATTCAAATATCCATGGTTTCACATACTATATCATACTGTTACCAAAAAAAAACATGGTTTTTCGTCATTTTCTGCCTGTGGCCCCCATGCGGTCTTCACGGTCCCAAAGTGGGGCAGTAACACCTGAATAACCAGGTCGGCGCAGAAAGATCAGAAAGCCGCAGTGCACGACGGTTGTACACGATGGCCCATAGAAATAGATGATTTTCCCAGCATTAATACCTCCATTTATTTTGGGGATGTTCCATGGCGAACTGTTAAATAACCAAATGGTAATCTGTCTTAGTTTTTAATAGCTTCATGGCTTGGGGTGGCAATAGCGTTCTGCAGGGCTCAGAAACCAAACCAGGTACCTAAGCCACTAGTTACCTTTGGGCTGAGAAAAACTGGTTTCCCCATAGTGGGGATGAAACACCACATGCCACATAAACAGATCGCCAAATGATGGTTGTACACCCGCCCAATTTCGGTGACGTGTATGCGAATGTGTATGGAGAACATATCAAGAATACAGGCAAGGGAAGCCGCACATGTTCTGGTCGTTCATGATACCCATGGCCCAAGGTTTGACAGCAAGCATTTCCTCATTCGAGCCATGAAAAATACCCCGTTTCCCCATCCCATTGTACTGGTTGGTTAATAAAATATGCCTATTACGGTCCGTTACGATTCACAATAATTCCCAACAAGCCAAGTAGTTTTCACCCACAGCGGTAACCAAGCACCACGTGTAATTTTCAATGGCGCATTGCCCGAGCATCCCGTACTGCCACTAAGGTACCTTCAAAGTGCCCCAGCGAGCGCATGGGAAATTCCCCTGAGGGTCGTACGCTGCTCAGCACCGCCTAGGTCGACCAAGGGATCTCTGGACGACGCAATGAGCGATTCTAAAGTGCCTATTGCAGGGGTACTTGGGGGTGCATTCCCAGTTCGTAAATGGGTAGTAACATGTAGTAACCATATTACGACTGGATTGGCTTCAGGGAAAAAAATGGCAGGAAACCATAGATTCCCCCCATAGTTCATGGGAAAATCTATGGCTTCCGGTTAAGATTTTCCCTTAAGCCAATCCATTGATATTGTCATATTATACCCAAGGCCGAACTCTTCAGGTGTGTCAATGATAGTTGGATTTCACCATCATTGGGGATATAATTGGGATAATAATATTATATAATATTGGTTTATAACTGGGATATAGTTGGGATATAATTGGATATACCAACAATAGTTAGTTAATAAGCAACAATGATGGGGATATAATTGGGATATAGTGGAATATAAACAACAATATGGATTATATGGGTTTGTCTGCAACGCGGGGAATGCCCACAAATTGATGGTAAATGATGTAAATGGATAATGATGTTCTAAACCAATGGATTTAGCCGTAAACACAAAGCCATTTGGATGTGCATCCAAAATCATCAAGGTTGCGTTCCATTTCCAAGGTTTGGATGCTAATAATCACAGTGATAAATGGATCAATACATGGCGCTACAAGTCCAGTCAATTTGGATGTGCACGTGTGATAACCCATTTAGTTTCCGGACAGGCATTCTCCGAATCCTGTCCCTCAAAATTGGTCGGTTCTCAAAAAAAAAACATGATTTTCCAGTAAATGATGAGTTTAAGCCATGTCAACCATGTTTAACCCCTTTATGGAGTTGTTGAATGCCTAACTATCAATCTTCCCATCAATCTGGAACCCATCCTGGAACCCATCCTGGGTCCATGGTCAAACCAACTAGGATTCTCGGATTTTTCCCCAGTACGCAAGACCCTGGTTGTGAATGGTTAATACCCTCTGGTTATGTCAAAATAGCTATTGAAAATGGTGATTTATAGTGGATTTACCCATTAAAAATGGTGATGTTCCATAGTTATGTAAACGTTTACCAGAACCCTGGTTGTATGGAAGTCTCCTTTCAGAATGTGTTATCCCATTTTTATTTAACGGGCTATAACATGGTATAACTGTGGCGATCCTAACCAGTTACGAGTCGTGGCATGATTCTTCAAGTATCCCGTTCGTACATGGGTTCCAAGCCTCCAAGCCCCGAACAAATATTCATCTAACCGGGATATGACTCATGACTGGATGTTTTATCTAACAAACATCACCAGCACCTATCACTCCCCAAAACCTATGGACATATTCACCGCTTTTATTCAACATTTACTTAAAATGATCCAACAAAACTTATCTATGGCTCATCCACTCACCACATCTACCCATCCATAGCCCCATAGCCCCATCCCCGGGCTCCCCCCGGTCTCCCCCCGGGCTCCCCCCGGGCTCCCCCCGGGCTCCCCCCGGGCTCCCCCCCCAACCTCGGTGTTGTTGCCCCATCTTCCGCTCAGCACGAAGCATGGCTCCGGAGGCCAGGAGCCCAGCGCCTCTGCCAGCAACGCCAGGAAGTCCTGGAGCAACACGCGCCTTGGGAAGTGGAGGCCGAAGCTGCTTCGCCACCGGCGGTTAGGATATGTACATATATACATGTATATATATATATATACAGAATGTATATCATAAATTATATACATATATATATATATACATGTAACAAGTTACTAAGCTGTACTGATATCTTGGGACATTTTGATACAACGGCGACCAGCAAAAATCTGTCGAGCTCCAGAGCTCCAGAGCCCCGAAGAAAATCCGTTTCAGAGTGGTGACATGTACCCTTTGGTTATATCAAAATAGCTATTGAAAATGGTGATTTATAGTGGATTTAGCCATTAGAAATGGTGGATCTTTCCATAGTTACGTAAACGTTTACCAGAGGGTAGCTATTGAAAACAACCATATTTAATAGGTAAATCATATATCCGCCGACCCCGGCCGACGCAAGGGGGAGCGCGTAAGGGAAGAAGAGGTGTTTTCCCGTCCGGCAGGGCCGTGTGGCTTTGTTTTTGTGTACTACTACTACTACTACTACTACTACTACTACTACTACTACTACTACTACTACTACTACTACTGGTGTTTTGCTGTCGGCAGATGCTTTTGGTGGTGATTCTGGCGCTAGTTCGTCCTTCAGGGGCAGTGTGTTTTGCTGTCGGCAGGTGCTTTTGTTGCTGGTGCGGTTCACAAGTAGGAGTAGGAGGTAGGGCATCCTGTTGTCGGCAGCTGCGTTTGGTGTACAAGTAGCAGGTAGCAAGTGGCAGTAGCAGCCAGCAGTAGCAGTAAAACCTCCGAATACAATAGTTTTTTCTACGGTTTCAGAAGTAACATTAGGCATCTTTCCGTGGAATTCTGGGACTTGTTCGTCCTTCAGTGGCATGGTGTTTTGCTGTCGGCAGGTGCTTTTGGTGGTGATTCTGGCGCTAGTTCGTCCTTCAGTGGCAGGGTGTTTTGCTGTCGGCAGGCCCGGCAGGTGCTTTTGTTGCTGGTGCGGTTCACAAGTAGGAGTAGGAGGTAGGGCATCCTGTTGTTGGCAGCTGCGTTTGGTGCACAAGTAGCAGGTAGCAAGTGGCAGTAGCAGCCAGCAGTAGCAGTAAAACCTCCGAATACAAGTAGCAGTAAAACCTCCGAATACAATAGTTTTAAAACCTCCGAATACAATAGTTTTTTCTACGGTTTCAGAAGTAACATTAGGCATCTTTCCGTGCAATTCTGGGACTTGTTCGTCCTTCAGTGGCATGGTGTTTTGCTGTCGGCAGGTGCTTTTGGTGGTAAGGCGGCTCACAAGTAGCAGTAGCAGAGCAGCCAGCTGTCGGCAGGTGCTTTTGTTGCTGGTGCGGTCCACAAGGAGGAGTAGGAAGTAGGGTGGCTTGTTGTCGGCAGCTGGTGCACAATAGCCGGTAGCAAGTGGCAGTAGCAGCTAGCAGCAGCAGTAAAACCTCCGAAGTCAATAGTTTTTTCTACGGTTTCAGAAGTAACATTAGGCATCTTTCCGTGCAATTCTGGGACTTGTTCGTCCTTCAGTGGCATGGTATTTTGCTGTCGGCAGGTGCTTTTGGTGGTAAGGCGGCTCACAAGTAGCAGTAGCAGAGCGGCCAGCTGCTTTTGGTGCTTGTGTTCTGCTGCGTTTTGTGCGCAAGTAGCAGGTAGCAAGTAGCAGTAACAGAGTTTTTTCTGCGGTTTCAGAAGTGACGTTAGAAGCGCTCTCAATTTTAGTAGGGTTTCAGAAGTAACGTTAGGCATCTTTCCGTGGAATTCTGGGACTTGTTCGTCCTTCAGTGGCATGGTGTTTTGCTGTCGGGAGGTGCTTTTGGTGGTGATTCTGGCGTTAGTTCGTCCTTCAGTGGCATGGTGTTTTGCTGTCGGCAGGCCCGGCAGGTGCTTTTGTTGCTGGTGCGGTTCAAAAGTAGGAGTAGGAGGTAGGGCATCCTGTTGTCGGCAGCTGCGTTTGGTGCACAAGTAGCAGGTAGCAAGTGGCAGTAGCAGCCAGCAGTAGCAGTAAAACCTCCGAAGACAATAGTTTTTCTGCGGTTTCAGAAGTAACCTTAGGCATCTTTCTGGCGCTAGTTCGTCCTTCAGTGGCAGGGTGTTTTGCTGTCGGCAGGTGCTTTTGTTGCTGGTGCGGTTCACAAGTAGGAGTAGGAGGTAGGGCATCCTGTTGTCGGCACCTGCGTTTGGTGCACAAGTAGCAAGTAGCAAGTGGCAGTAGCAGCCAGCAGTAGCAGTAAAACCTCCGAAGACAATAGTTTTTTCTACGGTTTCAGAAGTAACGTTAGGCATCTTTCCGTGCAATTCTGGGACTTGTTCGTCCTTCAGTGGCATGGTGTTTTGCTGTCGGCAGGTGCTTTTGGTGGTAAGGCGGCTCACAAGTAGCAGTAGCAGAGCGGCCAGCTGCTTTTGGTGCTTGTGTTCTGCTGCGTTTGGTGCACAAGTAGCAGGTAGCAAGTAGCAGTAACAGAGTTTTTTCTACGGTTTCACAAGTGACGTTAGAAGCGCTCTCAATTTTAGTAGGGTTTCAGAAGTAACGTTAGGCATCTTTCCGTGGAATTCTGGGACTTGTTCGTCCTTCAGTGGCATGGTGTTTTGCTGTCGGCAGGTGCTTTTGGTGGTGATTCTGGCGCTAGTTCGTCCTTCAGTGGCAGGGTGTTTTGCTGTCGGCAGGCCCGGCAGGTGCTTTTGTTGCTGGTGCGGTTCACAAGTAGGAGTAGGAGGTAGGGCAGCCTGTTGTCGGCAGCTGCGTTTGGTGCACAAGTAGCAGGTAGCAAGTGGCAGTAGCAGCCAGCAGTAGCAGTAAAACCTCCGAAGACAATAGTTTTTTCTACGGTTTCAGAAGTAACGTTGGGCATCTTTCTGGCGCTAGTTCGTCCTTCAGTGGCAGGGTGTTTTGCTGTCGGCAGGTGCTTTTGTTGCCGGTGCGGTTCACAAGTAGGAGTAGGAGGTAGGGCATCCTGTTGTTGGCACCTGCGTTTGGTGCACAAGTAGCGAGTAGCAAGTGGCAGTAGCAGCCAGCAGTAGCAGTAAAACCTCCGAAGACAATAGTTTTTTCTACGGTTTCAGAAGTAACCCTAGGCATCTTTCCATGCAATTCTGGGACTTGTTCGTCCTTCAGTGGCATGATGTTTTGCTGTCGGCAGGTGCTTTTGGTGGTGTTCGTGCTCCAGTGGCATGGTGTTTTGCTGTCGGCAGGTGCTTTTGTTGCTGGTGCGGTCCACAAGTAGGAGTAGGAGGTAAGGTAGCTTGTTGTCGGCAGCTGCTTTTGGTGCACAATAGCAGGTAGCAAGTGGCAGTAGCAGCCAGCAGTAGCAGTAAAACCTCCGAAGTTTATTGAGTTTAATATTTAATATTCTACAGTTTCAGAGGTAACGTTAGGCATCTTTCGGCACAATTCTGAGGCTGGTTCGTCCTTCAGTGGCAGGGTGTTTTGCTGTCGGCAGGTGCTTTTGGTGATGAGGCGGCTCACAAGTAGCAGTAGCAGAGCAGCCAGCTGCTTTTGGTGCTTGCGTTCAGCTGCTTTTAGCGCACAAGTAGCAGGTAGCAAGTGGCAGTCGCAGAGTTTTTTCTACGGTTTCAGAAGTGACGTTAAGCAGTTTCTGTGGAATTCTGGGACTTGTTACTTGTTCGTCCTTCAGTGGCATCGTGTCTTGCTGTCGGCAGGTGCTTTTGGTGGTGAGGCGGCTCACAAGTAGCTGTAGTGGAGCAGCCAGGAGTAGAAAACAACAAGGGTTTTAGTTAATTTATTTATCATATATAATAATATTTTACAGTTTCAGATGTAACGTTAGGCATCTTTCGGCGCAATTCTAGCGCTGGTTCGTCCTTCAGTGGCGTGGTGTTTTGCTGTCGGCAGGTGCTTTTGGTGGTGTTCGTCCTTCAGTAGCATGGTGTTTTGCTGTCGGCAGGTGCTTCTGTTGCTGGTGCGGTCCACAAGTAGGAGTAGGAGGTAGGGTGGCTTGTTGTCGGCAGCTGCTTTCGGTGCACAATATTCAATAGTAGGTAGCAAGTGGCAGTAGTTAGGCAGTTTTTGGGCTCGATTTTGGCGCCGTTCCGTCCTTCAGGGCCACTGTGTTTCCCTGTCCGGCAGCGTGCTTTTTCAGTTTCGGGAGGAAGAGCAGCAGCAGCAACAGGAGCAGCAGGAGGGTTCTATGTCTCACTATGTCTCATTGTACAAACAGCGGTACAAAAAATGGTCGAAAACTATTTTTTTCTAGGGTTTCAGAAGGGACGTTAGGCAGTTTTTGGGCTCGATTTTGGCGCCGTTCCGTTCTTCAGGGGCACTGTATTTCCCTGTCCGGCAGCGTGCGTTTTCAGCTTCGGGAGGAAGAGCAGCAGCAGCAACAGGAGCAGCAGGAGGGTTCTATGTCTCACTATGTCTCATTGTGCAAACAGCGGTACAAAAAATCGTCGAAAACTATTGTTTTTCTAGGGTTTCAGAAGGGACGTTAGGCAGTTTTTGGGCTCGATTTTGGCGCCGTTCCGTCCTTCAGGGCCACTGTGTTTCCCTGTCCGGCAGCGTGTGTTTTCAGCTTCGGGAGGAAGAGCAGCAGCAGCAACAGGAGCAGCAGGAGGGTTCTATGTCTCACTATGTCTCATTGTACAAACAGCGGTACAAAAACTGGTCGAAAACTATTGTTTTCTAGGGTTTCAGAAGGGACGTTAGGCAGTTTTTGGGCTCGATTTTGGCGCCGTTCCGTCCTTCAGGGCCACTGTGTTTCCCTGTCCGGCAGCGTGCGTTCTCCGCTTCGGGAGGAAGAGCAGCAGCAGCAACAGGAGCAGCAGGAGGGTTCTATGTCTCACTATGTCTCATTGTACAAACAGCGGTACAAAAAATGGTCGAAAACTATTGTTTTCTAGGGTTTCAGAAGGGACGTTAGGCAGTTTTTGGGCTCGATTTTGGCGCCGTTCCGTCCTTCAGGGCCACTGTGTTTCCCTGTCCGGCAGCGTGCTTTTTCAGCTTCGGGAGGAAGAGCAGCAGCAGCAACAGGAGCAGCAGGAGGGTTCTATGTCTCACTATGTCTCATGCAGTGCTCTACACTCCACTGACTGGGCTTCATCTGCTGTGCAAACATGTCCAGAGTTCATTCAACGGTTGCTCGTGGCCCTTCCTCTTTCCCCCTTTTTCCGGGGTCGGCGGCAGGGGCGGCAGCCCTTAAATATATATATATAAATGACCATGTTCCATAGCAAACTGTTACCAGAGGGTCTACCGTTTCCAGCACCACCCAACCATCTGAGGGTCACGTTTACAAAGACCTTCATCAGCCTACGGTCCATCCAGAAACCATCTGAGTGTGTCTGCTGAAAATCTGTCCTATACAATCAGGAAAATGATGATAGACCCCTTGGATTTAGAGGTAATGTGGCAACCTGGTAAGCCCAAAATAAACCATACCCTGTTATAGCAGAAATGTATAGAAACCATCCCCAACTTGGCGGTTTGTGGCATTCGCTAAACACCAGAATCTCCAAAGTATCATATAACATCATATAACTATTCCAAGATATTCCAAGTATCATCCCAATAGTGATCCCAGCAATAGCTATCTCCTACCAGTTTTTTTTACCCAATAATCGTACCAAATCGCTATGCTTGATATTTACCCTCTGGTAAACTAACATAACTATGGAAAATCACCATTTTCAATGGGAAAACTCAGTATAAATCACCATTTTCAATAGCTTGCTGTATGTTTACCAGAGGGTAAATCATATCAAATCCCTAAGATCCGAGTTGCTCCACTTCCTTCTTGGACCACTGCTTCCACGACGCCCACCTTCAAGCGGCCGTGTGTAACATCTTCGATAGGCCAAAGGCTTACCCCAGGTTTCATCGAGGATTTTGTCGTGGAAAAAATCACCGACATTAGGGAGTTTGCACTGCAAGATCCAAGGGCCCCTGGACCAGGGCCGTCTCCGTTTAGCCACAATTTCTTGACCTCACATTCTTAGTCGTTGCGCAAACAAAGATTGCAATGGAACATCCTTTGCGACATAAACGGTTGGTTTCAATGAGATATGTTTGGATGAAAATCAGAGATTAAACCAGGTTTTTGGCATCCTACCTGATGATGTCTCCACTTGATCTCGTATTGGGTTTGACTTCATTGCTGCTACCCCAAATTTGGGGTATGGATAACAATATGGGTAGTAACAAATCCAATAAAGATAAAGTATGTATCTTGTAAATGCAGGGGTAGATATGGGGTAGTAACTTAAATCCACGTTGCGGTCGGTTCATTCGATTCCTCCCATTCTTATCAATATGTGTGATACTTTTAAATTCACCCTCGAACCCTCAAATGATCCCAAATCCCAAGAACTATCCATAGTTCTCCACTTTTTTGAAATCTTTTTTTGATTGAGTTAGAATATCTTCGAATTCCACTACCTACCCCTTTTTTGCATCAAGATATTCTATGATCTTCTCCAGTTATCAAGTTATCCAATTATTCACCCAAGTTGATTCAAGGCCTATCCATAGTTATCCCATTTGATCTTAGAAGTCCACCCACTATCCTCTGGTAGACTCACGAAATTCTGTGGAAAATCACCATTTTTTATATGGAAATCAACGATAAATATCTATAAATGGTCACTTTCAATAGCAAACTGTTAGTTGACCAGAGGATAAATCACAGTTGTATCCTCATTTGCTTGGTGAAATCCCTATGAATCACCATAAGCCTATGAAATTCTTATGGAAATCGCCATCAAAATATCATGGCTTGAGGCATCAAGGCACTCCTTGGTGGAGAAGACCATGAAGCACTGCGGCACTCGTTCCCTCTGCGGCTTGGAGCTGTTCACGGCCAGCCACGCCAGCGAGCCGTGGTTCAGCACGTGGCACGCGTCCCAGGGCACTGGCAGCTCGCGGTCAAAGGCCACCTTGGAATGTTGGGATTCCCACCTAACTATGGGAAGTTGATATAATGTGATATGGTATGATATACTTGATATGGTTACATCATGTTAAATCCATCATATGGGAAGTTTAATGCGGGATGGTTGAAACCATCTTAGATTGTAAATTACCATAATATGAGAGAGTTTCCAACCCATTAACTATAGATATATCTACCATAAACCCTAGCTGGTGGGGTTATAAACTATAGATATTTTTTCTGTGTTTGTTGATATATAAATCCACCTAACGATGGGAAGTTGGTATACTTGATATAGTATATAAAAAGATATATATATATATATAGTTGATATAGTTACATCATGTTAAATCCATCATATGAGCAGTGTTTAATAAATCCCTCTATCATTCCATGAGAAATCCTGGTTGGTTGAGAACGGGATTCCCCGTTCTTGGATTATTCTAATCCACAATATATTGGGTAGTATAATCCCCTATAATCATCAACCAACAGGGGTTTTGAACACTGCTCATATGGCTATTCTAATGGAAATATAGTGGTAAAATACATGAAAATACCATATGATTGGAAATGTTCATATATTATTCATATATTATTGTTATGTATATATATATATATTACTGGTGCTTAGGGAATGAGGGAATGGGATGATTCTTCATAGTTATGGATTGGATCACTCCCCCATTCCCTACGTTTAGCACCAGCAAATTCATGCTGATAAAATATGGCTATTCTAATGGGAATATGCTTTGGGAAAAACAGCATATGATTGGACATTGAGATATGATCATGATATGATGGGGTGTTTTTAATTGGCATATAAGTGATTAATCATCATTTTTCCCACTCCAATACGGATTTCATATGGTTATTTTAATGGATTTCATGGGAATCTAGTGGGAAAAAAACACAATGAGTGTTCCATCTTTTCAAGAACAAAGTTGATTGACCCGGATGTTCCAATCTAATTGGCAATTTTTCTGAATCCAATGGGAAAGAAATCAGGTACCAATGGACCCAGAAAGGGCTCTGTTGTGCTGCATTTGTTTTTTTACTAAAAAATACTCTTCATAATTTACCGAACATCGCTTTGAAGCACTATTTTTTTACCGAACATCATTTCAGGCACGTTTTACTTCCGGAACATGCTAAGGTAAGTCTAAACAAAGAAAAAGAAGACCATCCATTTGGGGGGCCAGCAATATTGAGTTATGCCCAAGAATGTGTATATGTATTACATGTAGAGGGATAATGTGTCTGTGTAACATTATATAATGTGTACTAATACATTGTATAGTATTACATTTACAGGGATAATAGTATATCTGTATATATATATGCATCTATTATGAAAATAGTACATGTGTGTGTATCTGTATATCGTAAATATCGTATATTCATGATATTAATGCAAACATCATCTATACATCTGAGCATCGTGCAGTATCCGGGACTGTGATCTCAAGCCCAATACGGCTGGAGATTGTCTCAATGTCCGTTTCAGGAACTGATGTTTTGGAGGTGGCCACCATTTTTTGAGGTCCCGTGTCTAAGGCGAAAATTCAAGGAATATACAAAATCTAGTCTCAAATGAGACTAAGGAGCTCCCTAAGTGGACTCTCTGTCCGACAAACTGGTGGTACCCATTTTAATCATCCATGTGTTCATAGGATTTTCCATGATAAACCAGCTATTGGAGAGAGAATCCCATCTGAAATCCTATCTGCCTTAGCGCTTGGTCTTTGGGAGGGCCCATGATCTCGTCAAATTTTCATAGATATGACGGGATATTGGTGGATAATCCTTTCCCCCTTCATATCAAACACACCGCAAAACCATGGTGAACAATTCTAGTGATTATGAACTATTAACATCTATTAACCATGGATATATTTGGGACATTACATAACCATTCACTATTCACAACCATTAAGCGTTACACACATTTGAGACTCTTCACCATGGACTTCGCCATCTTCCGGGATGGGATTCGCCTGGTGTTCACCCAAATAAGTATCGATCCTACGGGATCTGTGGCATACCCAAGGCCATAAACCTACGTTAATGGGGATATACAATCCTACATATGGTATTTTTGGGTGGATTGTTTGTTATGGGGTGACTAGGCCATTGTTATGGTTTTTTTTCACTAAAACCATTCACGTATGTAGAAACCCACAATACAATATGTGTTTCGGTCATTTGGGGTGGGGATGGGGTGGAGTGGGGTGGGGTGGGGTGGGGGGGTGGTGGGGTAATAACGTTCATGTCAAATTGAACAGAAATGGAAGTGTAATCTGTGTCTCTTGGGGTGGGGTGGGTGGGGCAATAACGTTCATGTCAACTTGAACATGCTACGCTATGGCTATCTTCTCTTGCACTTGCACTCACGAGTCATGCTACGCTATGGCTATCTTCTGGTGCACTTGCACACACGTGTCATGCTACAGGGGGGGCAAGGTATCACTTTACATGTAAAGAAATAGGTGTATAGCAGACTGTATGCTATAAATATATATATATAATAGGATAAATAAATATGTGCCGCCACCCAGGCAATTGCTACAGATCTTGCCAATTGAACATGATCAACTTCATGTATCTTTGAAACCTGTCATGACTTAAAACCTAGATTGTTAGTTTTTCGGACCCTGAAACAACCTTCAATTGAATTAGAATAAGGCATGAAAAAAAAAATCTCTGCGTCATGATGAATGTTACAAAAACATGGACAAAACTGGAAAAATGAACATGTAAATGGCTGTGGCATATATGCATGAGACAAACATGTTCAAGTTGCAAAAAAACTGATGAAGAAAACGACGCGGGTTTCTATGTACGTGAAGCCTAAAACCAGCCCAAAAACATCCCTAAACGAGAGTTTTTAGGGACTTACCAGAATGATCCCAAATTGAAGCAGAACTGAGAAGAAAATAATTGAAAAACCAGTTTTGAGGCGTTCCATGCTATCAAGTGGGTGATGCTAACCCAGGCTAGTGTTAGTGATGGCCGTGATTTCTCAATACATAAGTCACAAAGGTAGGGATAAAATATGATAAATAAAGTTCAATTGAAAACATGACCGCCCCCCATATGAATCAAAAACAAATCCAGCGGTTTTGACAATACCGCGATCTCGATTACCAAAATCTAGACATGTGTTCCCTCTAAAAAAAGGTCATGCCGGTCCACTAAAACAGATTTTGCTTTCCCCCAAAGGTGCAGGATTTTTGGCCAGAAGCCACTTCTAACCCAGCTATAAATGGGTCAGCCCCCGGGACTTGCAATCGAACCATGGTGAGTCCCTTGAGATCTTGCATGGCTGGATAATCATCTTGCAGTTAATCCCCAACCCAAGAAATGCCCCTCCAAATGACAAGCCGGTGCCAGCACTAGCCCATCCCCCTAACAGTGGCCATTATATTAGGCCATAGCGCCCTGGCCAATCCTCCCCTCGCTGGGTCTTGCACCATCAAATTCCAAATCTGCGAAGTCTTGGTCTTTCCAGAGAGTCTCTGCCGCAAGGCCGGCGTGACAGAAGGCGGAACCATCTTGTAGCCAGATTTGCAGCCTGGAAGAACGGCGTTTCAATGCCGTGTGATAGGCTATAGGCAACCACAGTGAGCCCGTTTACCAACAAAACATGGGGACCCAATGTCTATCTTTCCCCAATTCTCGGGGTGGGACATTCATTGTTTGAAATGGCAGTTGCAGCAAATTAAATTGATATAGTTGCACTGGAAATACAAGGAACCCTGCGCGAACCAGCATTTTTTGGCAATGGTATCATTTCTTGAACGGCGGTGTCTAACTGGAAATCTGGCTTTGGACCATCTCAAACAGTCAACGATGATAATACCTAATATTGGGATCATCATCCCATGAGCAGGATAGAACATAAAGAATGAAAGCACCAATCAAACAACCATCTAGTTGTTGGTGGTCATACAAAACTTGCCCGCAAGAAAACCAAGCATTAGTGTGTTAATAATATGTGTCCAATCAAATTAACTATTTCCATGGAAAATTGGAAAACTATTTTTTTTAGATAAATCATCTATTTTCATGGGCCACGGCTTCCATAGTTATACTAACTTACCAAGTGTTTTGCTTTATTAAATTACTAGATGTGTTTTATCATTACAACCCACATTTATAGATTCTACATGGTGTTCCCATGTCACCCTTTATTTATCTGGCTGAATTATAATACTTTGCTGACCTGCGACCACGGGGTGAGGTCAGCAAATAAAATCATCAAGTTTCATACGGATATCCCATTCATATCCCTTTCACATCCCATTAATATCCTATTAATATCCCATTATATCCCCATTAGATTCATCATTGAAATCCCATTTATAGATGCTTTTCCCAATGTATAGATACTTAGCCAGCCAAACTCCAGGCATCTAAAAGTTTGAACTTTCTGCCCAAAATAGCTGTGCAAGTCACACTCCCCACGTGCCGCATCTTTTAACACTGGAGGGCTAAGGGCTAAAGGAATGAAATTTTCGCCCCTTGAGAATCAACACAATCGCGTGAGGTTTGTAATGGGACTTATGGCCGGAGGTCTTGTACTATGAAAATGCGATGTTTTTGCCTTTGTTTGAAACTGTGTCTAGACTTGTCGTGGTTTGAGTTTGGCAAAATATATGTCAGAGTAATGGCCTTCAAATGCCATGTTGGGGATCAATCGAAATAAAAAACATGTTTTAGCCGAACAGCATGTTCCGAAATCTGCTAATTAAATCAGTTTGCATATTAACCATGTTGGCTGGGCCCAAGAAGGTTTGCGAACGTCTTTCCGCGCGAACGCGTCTGGCTGTGTTGGCTCGGAACAGGTTTCCCACCAAACACCAATTCAAGCACACTACGTTTCAAAAAGACCAGCTATGTACAGACACATGTTTTTGCATTTTAAACAAGACTTGGACGCGCTCCAAACTCAAGAAAGTTGTTCCTCAACGCTGGCCGCGAAGATATGCCGCACTCTCTGAATGCAGGAACGCCACTACTTTCTGCCACTCGCAGCATGCGAACGCTTAGTTTTCTAACGAATTGGGTATATACATTAATCAGTTCTAGTTTTTACTTTCTCCTCATCCTGGATTTTTTGCTATCTCCTCGCCCCAGGAGAAGCTTGACATTGCTGGCGGTTGGACGGCAACTTCACCACACATAACATCAAGGAAACTATGATCAAAAGGCAGGCTACATTTAAAAAAAAAGTTTAAAAGTTAGGTCTTGAACTGCTAAGGATATGGGGGCTTTCGGGGTACCCCCATTTATGGGTGGTTTATAATGGAAAACCCATCTATAAATGCAGCAAATTGGGGGGGTACCCCCATGAAAACCCTCCATTTCTGCCCCGCCTTGAAGGATCTTGTTGGCCTCAAAAGCCAAGACCACCGCATCGAAGTTGCGGTAGGACACCTGGCCATGGGCCATACGGAGACCCATGTCCCATCCCCAGCATCCCCCACAGGTGTTAGATTGAAAAAATAGGACTCTAAGCAACAACAACGGGGGATTTACAGTTGATAATAGTTGATTGAAGTTGGCTAAGTTGGTTTAGTTCAGTAGTTTAAGGATTTGATTTATCGTAATTAGATGTATCGAACTACTGAATGGGGGTTGCAAAGCAACTTAGAACTGGGGGCCACCAGCTTGCAAAATATGATGGGAACATAATAGGTAGGTAGTGGAGGTATGTAATGCGGGACGATATAATGAGGGATATAATGGATATATTGGGGTATGCGGTATGCGAACCAAGAATATCAATATGACTTCGTCCAGAGATGGAACATACCAAATTTATTCAAAATTGTTGTTTTAGTGGGAATATGATGATGATAAAGCACTAAAATTTGGGGTACGGAACCCTATTGCTGGACAAACCCTTGAAAAGCATCCAACCTGCGCGCCCGTAAATTCACACCCCCATCCCTCAGCGCAAAAAGCATCCTATGAATCCGCCATCCCCAAGTCCATCTTTCCATATCCCCATCCAAGAAATCCTGAAATTAACTAATCAAAAACTCTGAATCAACAATTCCAACGTTTAACACTGCTTAACACTATGCCCAATGCCACGCCATACCCATCCCACCCCTCCACATCCAAAGCTTCATCACAAGACCCCCCATCCCCTCCCCAAAAAACAGGTTCAAAGTTTTCAAAAATTTTTCAGTGCATCCAAAACCTTGATTTTTTTTTCAGTGCACCCCAACCCACCCCCCAACCACCCCATCCCCCATCCGCAACCATCCCAACCATCCCCACCTCCGAGGCCCCTTCCGCCAGTTCTGGGCGATAGCGAAGCTGCCCCGCGTTTGCCTCTGCGCGACTCCACTGGACGCTCCACTGCCGCAGCCCCGTGCGGCGCCGGCCCTGGACGTGGGCAGTGCGGTCCACCTGCGAAGCCGCTAAGGGGCAAAAAAAAAAACGGAGTTCACTTGGGAAAAACATGGAAAAATTGGAGTTGATCATATTTTATGAAAAAAATGTGGGGTTTATCAAGAGTTTTCGGGAATTCGATCCATATCGCAGTTGGCAAATTGTGGACTTGACCACCTGGATTTTTTGCAAGTCAAGTGTAGATTTTAGCCATCAAAGTAACCAACAATGATGATGATGATGATGATGGTGATGATGATGATGATGATGATGATGATGGGGACCCTTTACCCGAACCGCCGGGGAGAACTTCAGAGGTTCATCATCTAGGATTTTCACAAAACTTGGATCAACAAAGTTTCCCACGGATGGAAATTCAAACCGACATTTTTTGAATGTCCTGCATAAATCCCCGTAGATGTCAATGCCAGAGGGGCACCGATAGTCTCCATTTCTGAAGCTGCTTCAGCTGCCCTAAGGGCAGCTTCAAATTGATGGTTTCCTCAACCAAAAAACATAAGAATTAGGATGAGTCAAAACCTATAAAACCTAGAATGCTATAAACTTTTGGGGGGATGAACATCCATAAATCCCAGCGTTTTGTGGGTTCACCAGGAGATTCGTATGGCTTGGAAAAAAGCCTGCGGGAAAGGCCACCAGCTATTCCTAGTTTCTCGAAATTGTGTGGTCCATTTAATGCCCTTTTTTTGTTGATATGCCACTAAATCTTCTATAGGTGTTTTGCGCCCTCTTGTTGCACCAAAAAAAGAACCAATAGGGAAAAGAGTCAAGCCGAATGTGCGCAAATCCACACTACATTCACTCGAGAAAACTGTACTTTTGAGTTCAATCCCTAGTTCCAGCGCTTAAACACATGCAACACCCTATTTGGGATCTTGAAGCGGCATCTAAACCGCTTTGCTGATCAAAATAAACATGCCCAAGTCACATGAACTTCCAAATTTGGACATCTTTCCGCCAGATGTCGTCCAATCGCAGACATAGAAGGTGTCCCCACCACCAGCCCGGTCACTGGCAGATCCTGACCGGAGACTTCGGTCACCGTCATTCACTGGTTGCCCTCCGGTAAACTAACGTGGCTGTTGAAAATGGCCCATTTGTAGTTGTTTTAGAATGTTTTACCTACTAAAAGTGATGATCGTTATGTTAGTTTACCAGAGGGTACCAAGTGGAGTCAACAAAGAGATGGTGGATTTGGGGTGTCACCTTGGGACATGCAGTGGAGAACATCCACATGGCTTGGTCCAATCTTTCTCCCCAGGGTACCTGGACTTCCAGGAATGGGCTAGACGGGGATGGCACGTCACTCAGATCTCACTGGGGCGTATCTCAATGTGAACTGGACAGTGCCAATTGACATCAAGATGAATCAACCCCAATCACCATCCATCACCATTTATCCAGTTCTCCGCTCTTGGGATGATATATACATATACATATACATATACATATACATATACATATACATATACATATACATATACATATACATATACATATATATAATTGTGAAACATCCTCAGTTTATCCATCTCCTGTCAGGTGCCGGTAGGACATGCCCATGGACCAATTTCATATCATGCTGCTGCATGTCCATCAAGGGGTGGGCAGTGGCGTGGACTTGTGAGCCATAGTGGTGTGAAAGCAGAGGTGCTGCTTGGGGCCGGGGGGGGGCGAGTCAGCCAATTCAAATTGGCAGCGGAGTTGCCTGGTTGGTGGAAAAAGGTCGAGGCGACCAAAGACGACGGGATTTAGGTTGAAGGTGACTTTTACCTGGTGAGGACGCTGGGTAGGGTGCTAGGGAGCACTCGGGATGTCTGAGGGCATGGCCCAAGCCTCAGGCGATGAGAAGGGGACAAACTTATGGAGCCGCCTTCCGTCGTTTGACCCGAGCTTGGACAACGCCAAGGAGTATGCGGACAAGGTGCGGTTCCTATGGGGAATTTGTCCGACAAAGGACAAAGGGATGTTGGCGCCTCGCCTTGCACTGTTGTGCAAAGGCACGGCCTGGAGCCAAGTCAAAGGCCTGGCATCAGAAAAGCTGACAGACCCTGACAATGGGTACAAGGTGCTACTCAAGGCATTGGAAACCTGGGAAGAATCAGCTGAGTTGCAAACCTATGAGGCCTTTGAGAAGGCGTTCTACAAGACAGTCCAGAAGCCTGACGAGACGGCAGTTTCCTTTGTGAATAGGATCAACGTGGCCTTCCAGGAGGTTGGTTCTGAGACGACGGTGCAAACAGCGAAAGCATTCGTAATTCTCAGGCAGAGTGGAATCAATGCAGAGGACAAGAAGCGCATCATCTCAATGGCAGGCAGCTATGATCCGTCCAAGATCGAGGCGGCGATGCGAGCCCTGTCAACAAAGGTACTTGGTCAAAGTGATGGTGCCAGGAAGAAGATCTACCCGGTCAACTACATGGAGGATGATGCGGATGAAATCAACTATGCAGGTGAAGAAGAGATGGACGAGGACTCAATTCTGATGGCACTCCTTGAAGAGGGTGATGAAAGCGCTCTTGTCATCCAGGAGTTCGAGGACAGCATAGTTCAGGTGTGCCAGGACTCGCCTGAGCTGTCGATGGCCTTCTCGGCTTACCAAGAGCCAGGGCCAAAATCCGAGACAAAGTCCGTGGACGTGGATTCTGGCCCATTCGAAGCTTTCCCAAAGGCAAAGGGAAAACCAAGAAGGGCAAGAACGTCTTCAAGAAGCGACAGAGCCTCTCCGAGAGGATTGCATCCTCCAACTGCAGGATCTGTGGAGTTCGAGGTCATTGGAAAGAAGAATGTCCTCAAAAAGATCGACAAGGTGGTGCGGAAGCCAACATGCTTACGACGGTGGAGGAGCAGCTGATTGGTGAGATCTTGGAGGACCTTCCCCTGGACAACATGACCACTTGGGAGGCACGGCACCAGGGACACACACACTCAGATCCAGGGGTACCACCTGTGTATTCCGATGTTAATGATGAATTCGTTTGTATGGTTGTCCCAGGAACTTCCAAAGTTTTGCATGTGAACAATATTCCAAATGAGAAATTTCAATTTCGAAGTGTTTTGAAACGGGCTTTAGAAACTAGCTTCGGTGTCGTCAGGTCACGGAAAAATGAAACTGAGAGTAGTGTTGATCTAGGGCCTTCAGGAACTGGAATCATCGACACAGGAGCTAGCAAGTCCGTCATTGGTGAAAAGCGTGTGAGCGATCTCCTTGCCACCCTCAAACATGAACATCGGAGCTTAGTGAAGTGGCAGAAGTCGGAAACGGTGTTTCGGTTTGGTAACAATGGTACCTTGAAAAGTTTGGGGGCTCTCTACATTCCATTTGGATCCAAATGGCTCCGAATTGAAGTTGTGCAAGGATGGACACCATTCCTCATTTCAAATGCCTTTTTGAGTGCAGTAGGTGCAGATTTGCTGATCAGTCATTCAGTTTTGCGTGTGTCCTCATGGGGCGGCGATGTCACCTTGTGTAGGAACTCGAAGGGTCTTTTCACTGTCAAATTGACTGAATTGATTGAGGCAGCATGCAAATTCGATCAACGCCCTAAAACTGAGGAAGTGGTCACCATGGCAAGTAGTTCACCCAATATACTTAATCGAAGTAAGGGGGTTTATTGCACACAGCAGCAGCAGCAGCCGTGGTCAAATGAGATTGATGATGCCAACGGCATGCCAGCAGCTAAAGTGGCTCAACCTCAGTTCAACAGTGACAACGTGATCTCAGCCGACACCCCTCTCGGTGACGCTCCTGTGAATCATGGCGCTCATGCCGGAGAAGAGCAGCAGCAACAATGTCGAGTCCCAGGTGATGGCGGGCTATGCAAACAATATGGAGGCGAACCTGGATGTTCCACTGATGGGACCAGTCGATCCAGGGTTGAACTTCAGTCAGCCGCCAATCATCAGGAGCTCCCGTCCCGAAGGGATCTCAACACTTCGGGAGTGGGGCGACATGAAGTTCCCGGAAGGCAAGTGGAAGAATGCCACCTTTGCCGACGTCTTCCGCCAGGACCCAAAGTATGTGCACTTCATGGCCAACCACACCAAGCTGGTGTCCCTATGGGCATTGAGCTTCAAGAGCTATGTCAATGCTCGACTGAAAGCTCAGATCGAGCACGAAGAGCTGAAAAAGAAGATGGTGATGGAGATGGAGAAAAAGGTGCGCGAGGTGTTGATGACCGGCTCGTGGGGAACGTCTCTTCCAAGCAATGTGGATTGGGAGGTGATCTCACAGACAGTGCAGTCTGGTGGAGCAAGTCCACACGGACCAATCAACCGAGCCAAGAGGTCCATGGAGGACGAGATCGATGGCAACCAAATAAAACCAGAGTATGCTCCGGAGAACAAGATCGACAAGATCACCCGAATGGCTCTGCTTCAGCGAGAGCTGGATCGTCTGAGGGAGGAGGTAGATCAGTAGAGGACTCCAATGTGCCTGAGATCAAGGCCTGGAAGCTTGAAACAGCCAGTGTTGATTCCATTTGTCAACAACTGGAATACGCTCAAGTGTCAATTGAAAAGGATCTGGCCAAGCTTCAGGCAACATGGAAAAGACCATCGACGAACAATACAAAAGAACCATCATGGGGTTTGGATCTCTTGGAAGTCTACTGTGAGTCAGACTCAAAACTGACGGAACAAGCTCAAAGACTAGGTTTGAGAGCCGAGAGATTCACGATCCACGATGGTGATCTATCAACAACTGCTGGTCGGGAAGCTTTGTGGAAGAAGATCATGGAGAAGTGTCCCCGTGAAATTTGGATGGCACCGGAATGCAAGTATTGGGGCAATTTCAGCCGGAGAAACATGGGCCGCAGCATCAGCACAGCAGCCAAAATACAAGCAGGTAGGGACAGTCAAAGGGTACATCTTAAGCTGTGTAATGAGGTCTATTGGCATCAGATGGGGATAGGCGGCCATTTCCATCTTGAGCAACCACAGGGATCTGAAGCAATAGAACAACCGGAGTTGAAGGATGTAAAAGAAGGAACCCTTTGTACTACTTTTGACATGTGCGAAGTAGGTAAACTACTTGCCCCTAGGATCCAAAGGAAGATCAGTGGAAATAACTTTATGAGAAAAAGAACCACTGTCTCCACTTCCTCCAAAGTCTTCCACAAAGCCTTTGACCATCGCTTGTGTGTTGGAAACCACGAGCAAGTTCCGATCGAAGGCAAAGTGCTCCATCTCGGAAGATGGATATCTCTCTCGGAGTATGCCGCTCGCTACTCATCCGGTTTTGGTAGGAATGTGGCCCGGTATTTGGCTTGTCAGTGTTGGAATCCACCACTTCTATGGGAAGAGTTGAGTGTGGGTCATGAAGATGTTGATTTTGTAGCAGCGGTCATAAACCGAAAAAGAGAACATATAAGCATGGATGCCCCGGCTGGGCCCGAACCAGATGCCAAGCGTCTGCGCTATAATGGCAAGCGTCCCCCTCGTGGAAGTCATGGCTGCGCTGGTGTAGAATTCTGGGATAATGTCTTTAGACGTGTGGAATCTGAAGTCCCAAGGGTTGGAAAGAGGGTTTTTGTTGCTGGTGATGAGTTTGATGAGATTCAGAGGGGTGTTTTTGGTTTTAAGGTTCGTAGGGTTGAAGCTTGTAGGGGAACAGAACGTTTGAGAATCCCAGCAAATGATGTCAGCCATGCATCCATACCGCTCAGACTCACGGTTATCAAAGACCGTGCTACCGGAAGTGCGGAAGTGCTAGGTCCTGCTGAGCGATGGGTGAATCTACCCAAGAACAAACAGATCCGGAGGGGAAGACCAGCCAAGATGAGCCTGACCATTTTTGGGGAAGAGTTACCAAAGGATGATATGATTCGACATGGAGATGATGATAACCATGAATTGTCGGATATTGATCGGGAGATGTTTGGTGACCCTCCAAATGGTCCTCCTAAAAATCCTGGGGTAGGAAATGGGGATAGTAACCCTGAAGGAGATATTGGGGGAGATGTGGTTAGTGATTTAGTTGGTGAGGGTGTTCCCAAAAGTATTGCAAGACATGGCCCTGGGTTTTTAAATTTAACTGGGGAGGAAAAGGCTCAAATTCGACGCCTGCACCATAATTTGGGACATCCCACGGCAGAGCGACTGGCGAAGTTCATGAAAGAACGACATGCGGAGCATCGCATAATTCAAGGTGTCTTGGACTTCCAATGTGATAGTTGTTCTGAAGGAAAGAAGGGATTTGACACTGCACGACCGGCTGCCATACATGATGATTTGGGTTTCAATCAAGTTGTTGGTATGGACTCAGCTGTTTGGGCAAACCATAGGGGTCGTCAGTTCACCTTTTCTCATGTGATTGATGAAGGAACCCTGTTTCATTTGGGGGCGCCGGTAGAAAGTGTAGATGTAGAATCTCAACTCAAAGTCTTTCAGCAAGTTTGGATGTTGTGGGCCGGACCACCACAAACAGTGTATGTCGATCCTGCGAGCGAATACCGTGCTGAGAAATGGCAAGACAGCATGCAAGCGCTGGATGTACATATAAAAATGACAGTTGGTGATGCCCACTGGCAACTGGGACGGGTTGAGATCCATGGAGCCATAATCAAAAAAATGCTGGATCGCATGGATTTGGAACAACCTATCAATACGGCAGCAGAATTTGCAGCGGCCCTGACTCAATCGTTTAATGCAAAGAACACCCTATCTCGGGTAAAGGGTTATTCTCCTGAACAAGCTGTCCTTGGTATCGCAAGAAGGCTTCCTGGATCTTTGACCTCAAATGCGGATGCGGGGAGCCTATCCTTAGCCGAAGGCCAGGGAGTGGCATCTGATGTTTTCCGGGCTGGCTTAGAGCTTCGAGCATCAGCACGTCGTGCGTTCATAGATGCAGACAACTCTTCAAGTCTGCGCAGAGCGCTGTTGCGTCGTAGCCGTCCATTGAGGGGTCCATTTGAAATAGGGGATCTTGTTTTGTACTGGAGAAGAAAAGGGGCAAACATGAGAAGGGAGAGGGGTCGTTGGTTTGGTCCTGCCAGTGTTGTAGCTGTTGAGGGTTCCAGAAACGTATGGCTTAACCACAGTGGACGCCTAGTTCGTGCCTGTCCTGAGCAGATCCGTCCAGCTAGTTTCCGTGAATGGAGAACTCTCCAAACGCAGAGATCTGTGGCCATGGAAGAAAACTCTCCAGGTAGGTTCTCCCAAAACCTAAGGGGTGGGGTATTTATTGATTTGAGTAATGATGGGATTCCCGAGAATGATGATGATGGTGAGTATAGTCCCTCTGAACTTGAACCTGAAGTTGAGACATCCATCAAATCCCCTGAAGAGACCGAACCGGGAGAAGTCGATTTGGAAAAACCATGTGAGCCACATGAAGTTCCAGTTCCTGACACACCTTTTGAATCGGAAGAGGAAATGTCAAGTAATGAAATACCCGAGGATGAGACCAGAAAGGGGGAGCCAATTTTGTTTGGGGATGATGTAGATTTTGGGGAACCCCCTCCACAGAGTTTTGATGTTTGGGAAATGTCAATTCCTCTTGAGCAAAAACAAGAAGTCAGGATGTTTTGTTCAGCCTCTGCGGATGAGAGCGTGCTGTTAGTTTCCGACTCCAAGGAAAGGAAAGTAGAGGTCAAGCTGAGCAATCTGAAAAGTGAGGATCAGTTTAGGATGGCTGTGGCCAAGCACAAAGAGATTGGAGCTTGGCTGAAACACTCCACAGTGCGCAAAGTCTCAAAAGGGAAAATCCCTGAATCAGCGATAATGCGATGCCGATGGATTTTGTCTTGGAAACCAGCAGGTCCTTCCGACAATCCAGCCGATGTCAGCAATGGCCAGAAAGGAAAAGCCAGGCTAGTGGTTGTCGGGTTTGAGGATCCTGGAGTTGGAGTCATTAAAAATGACTCTCCGACCCTGAGCAAGGATGCCAGACAAACAATAGTCCAGCAGGTGAGCAGCTACAAGTGGGATCTTGTGTCATTTGACATATCGACGGCATTCCTGCATGGGGAAGGGGATGGTAGGCTGTTGGGTATTTACCCTCCACCAGAACTTCAAGAATCACTTGGTATGCAAGAGACCGATCAGTGCGAACTAGTTGGGGGTGCATACGGCCGAGTGGATGCCCCATATCTTTGGTTTTGTAAGTTTAGGGACACTCTGGTTAGTGAGGGGTATCAGCAGTGCCCTCTTGATCCATGTTGCTTTACCCTGACATCAAAGGATGAAAAAGGTCACTTGCAGATCCATGGATCACTGGGTATTCATGTTGATGACGGGATTGGTGGGGGCGACAAAGTCTTCCTAGAATCCCTGGAAAGAATCCGACAAAAATTTAATTTTGGCAGTTTCGAAAAGGGGTGCTTCACATTTACGGGGATTAGGTACAAACAGTGGGATGATAAGAGCATCGAGTATGATCAGATCGACTATATTGAGAAGATAGCTCCCATTGAAATTCCCAAAAGTCGAAGAAACCAACCCCTGAGTAGACTCACTGAGAATGAGACAACCCAGTTAAGAAGTCTGGTAGGTGCACTTCAATATGCCGCAGTGCACACAAGACCAGATCTTTGTGCAAAGCTTGGAGAAATCCAGTCATGCGTTCCTAGAGCCACCGTGGGTGACATGGTCAGTGCAAACAAAGTTTTGTTTGAGGCCAAGAGCAACAAGGTCTCTCTAATGACCGTTCCAATTGCACCGGACCAGCTCACATACTGTGCCTTTTCAGATGCCTCATTTCTGTCAGGGAAGGAAAAGTTTGCCCACCAGGGAGGCCTGATTTTTGCAACGACTCCTGAGCTGTTGGAGAATAAGAAATCTGTGATGGCACCGGTGGCATGGATCAGCAAAAAGATCCACCGGGTCACTCGGAGCACCCTTGGTGCAGAAGCAATTGCACTTAGTGGTACAGTAGACAGGCTACTATGGGTCCGATTGATGTGGGAATGGGTAAATAATCCTGCCATTGAATGGGGTAGCCCTGAAACTGTTTTGGAGAATGCTAGGAGGGCTGCTTTGGTGACGGATTGCAAGAGCGCGTACGATCTCCTTACTCGGACAGCCATTCCTCAGTGCGAAGAACATCGAACAACCATAGAATGCCTTTTAATTCGAGAACGGCTTAAGGCAAACTGTGCCATTCGATGGGTGACTTCCCATGCTCAATTGGCAGATTGCTTGACAAAAAGCATGGACTCATCAGTGTTGAGGGAGTGTCTAAAGAGTGGTAGATACTCGTTGTTTGATGAGAACAGGGTTCTTCAGGAGCGATCTGACAAAAAGCAAAGAGCCAAGTGGGCGAAAGAGGCTACCTCAGACTCCGGACCCAGTGCAGCAAACCATACAACATGCTTGGAAGATTCCTGGGAATTAAAAAAACAAGGCCAGGTTGTCCGAATTCACCATGTTCCTCGTTGGAAACGTTTTTCTCCTATAGGGGTTCCTGGATGCCCAGTTGACATCCGCAATCTAGGGGTGGAGAGGACCACTTTTGCCAGATTTGAATCTGGAGAAACATGGAATGAGAAGGACTTTTGGCCTGGCACGCGGGGTCATGCTTCTCTGCCAGCACTTTGGACAGGAAAAACAACATTTGAAGTACGGGGTGTGTGAAACATCCTCAGTTTATCCATCTCCTGTCAGGTGCCGGTAGGACATGCCGATGGACCAATTTCATATCATGCTGCTGCATGTCCATCAAGGGGTGGGCAGTGGCGTGGACTTGTGAGCCATAGTGGTGTGAAAGCAGAGGTGCTGCTTGGGGCTGCGGTGGGCGAGTCAGCCAATTCAAAACATATACATATACATATACATATACATATACATATATATATACATATAGATACATATAAATACATATACATGTACATATATTATATATATATATATGTAGGTATAGATATAGATATACTGTAATATCCATCCCATGAATCCACTATCCCCTCCTTGACATCTTTGATGCGCCACTTCTCCCAACTGCCCTCGCAGCGCAGCTCTTTGTAGCGCCCCGGCCGCGGCCATGGCGCCACAACGCCCTGCAGTTCCTCCGCCAGCGCTCCCGCGGGGCGGAGAAGCTGCACGCCTCGGGGCGGGGCTGTGAAGGGAAAATCTTAGGGCATCACCTATGGGATTTATGGGAAAATGATGGTTTAATATGGTTTAATGGCAGTTAAATGGAATTTAAATGGAACCATAGTGGGTTATAACCAACTATTAATCCATTGTTGTGATTAATGCGGGTAAAACAATGACATAAACCACCCATGACTGGGAATGGTAAACATACGATCAACTCCCACCATTTGCCCCGCTTCTGGAAGAGTTCGACGGGACCATTGTCATCATCATTATCATCATCATCGTCATCATCATCACCATCATCATCATCAACAGCAACATCGCTGGTATGATCATCGTCTTCTTTAACAGAATCCTTCAAAATTGGTTCAAAATGCACAGTTCCAGCAGTTTTGGCTACGCTAACAGTTCAAACAGAATCCTAACAAACCGTTGCAAAATGCACAGTTCCAGCAATCTTGTTAGAACGAACAGCTCTAACAGAATCCTAGCAAATTGCTGCAAAATGCACCCACCCCACTCCACCTTAAACCATCATAGTTAGATATATAAAATTAGATCATCTTGGGCGCAGCATCAAAGTCTTGCGCAAGGCGTTATCATCGCCCCATCCCACCCCACCCCACTGATGCAGCATCACAGTCTTTGTGCAAAGTCGGGTGAACGTTAGCATCCCCCCACCCCACCCCACCCCACCCCATGTGAGCGTAGCATCAACATCTTGTGAAGGGTCGAGGGAACGTAGTCGAAGGAACGTTAACATCCCACCCCACCCCACCCCATGTGAGCGTAGCAGCAACATCTTGCGAAAGGCCGAGGGAATGTGGCCGAAGGAATGTTACAACATCCCCATCCCACCCCATGTGATCGTAGCATCAACATCGTGCGCAAGGTCGAGGGACGTGGTCGAAGGAACGTTAACATCCCCACCCCACCCCACCCCATGTGAGCGTAGTATCAACATCTTGTGCAAGGTCGAGGGAACGTGGTCGAGGGAACGTTAACATCCCCCCACCCCACCCCATCCTACCCCATGTAAACTGTGGGGCAAATGGTGGGCGTTGCGTCTAAACATACCACCTATAAACACGGTGATGACTGGGGGATGGTTTATTATTGTCTTAACCACATTAATGGAATTATAATAAGAAGAAGGTGGAATTCATGGAATGGTTTTTTTTGAGCTATCAGTTGGCAGAATTCCGTACTTAATTCCATTATTCCCAGAAATAAACTTAGGGCTGTGAAGATGGATGGAATTAATGGAATAATGGAATAAACTGGTGGAATTAGATTATCAACTGGTGAAATTAATGGAATAATCTTATTATTCATGGATGGAATTAGATTATAATCTTATGAACTGGTGGATCTTATAATCAACAACAAAACCTCGCCATCTTGTCAAAGAATTAGATTGATTAATGGTTAACAGATGGTTTGACCTATGAACAATCTTAGTACTAACTAATGGGATTAGTTTCGAATCCCAAACTGATACTAAAATTGAGTTTTCACCCCATTATCAGGGGCTATTCATCTATAACTAGTTAAATCATATTAAATCCACATCATGGATTATAGATTGCAATAGAGTATAGTGGATATAACTTTGGGACATGCTGGTGATAGACAGCAACAAATCTTCAATTGTTTGGGAACACTATGAGGATATTACAGAAAAACAAACATAACAGTTTAACAGTTCCCAAAGTGGGGATCTGATAGGGGATATCATGGGAACTGAAGCAATCAAAAGCTGTGATCATCACCAACAATTGCGCGCGGATTGGGGTTTTGGGACGCATCACCTCTGTGGTGGAAGATACTATAGACTATACTGTCACCATGACTACATAATACTATATACACATAGTGGTTTCCTAAAATTGGGGTACCCCCAAATCATCCAAAAAATAGTAGGATTTTGAATTATCAACCATCCATTCTGCATTACCATGCATTACCCATTCTAGGAAACGTCCAAAAAAAAACATTGGAGTGGCAATCAAAAACACCCACCAGGGTTGGTTTACCAAGTTTACTGATCCAAATGGAAACCCCCGAAGGGATCTCCCCTGAAAACATCCGGACAGGACGTTTTAGCGCAGTCACCTTTTGGCCACTTCCAAATTCGTTGATTTTCTTTGGTGTCAAAGTGGATGTCAAAGTGGTTGATTGTTGCCCTCTGGTAAACTAACATAGCTGTTGAAAATCACCACTGTTAGTGGCTAAATCCACTATTTTTATGACCATTTTCAATAGCTATTTTGACATAACCAGAGGGTAAAGGAAACGAGTGCTTCATGGCTGCTTCATTGATATCTGAACCTCGGTGAAGGCCAATCCAGCCAAGGTTCCCATGTCAAAATGAAGCGTAGGATCATCCTGAGAACCAGCGACAGGGACCAACACCATGGAGATCACTGGGGATCCTGCTTTCTGTCACTGAAAACTATGCATGCACCCAACATGTGATCACCTGCACCTCTACAAATCGCAAAAATGATGGCAACCCAAAGGGTCATTAGGAGCCAAGAATCGAAACATCCTTCCCATGTCATCCCAACGTGCCGTAAAGCCGTAAAGAATGCGTTAAAAGGGCCTGGTGTGAAAAGGGAGAAAATCTATGGCCTTGGATAAACTTGGATTTGTTCGTAAAAATTATGATCTGTACAATGTGTCATTGTGAAATACAGTTATATCACTTCGTGAGTCTCGTGAGTCGTCTTATTGGCAGTTCTTCCACAAAAGTCCAGCAATGTGTACCCCAAAATTACCCCTTGGAAACATGTATTTTACAATGATCATTTCGATGATTGAGCCACCACCCTGAAAAAAAATGCAGTCATTGGGGATCATCATCCCATTTCTATGGCTGAACATAAAAAATTGTGTGAACTGTGAAATCACCAACCAGTCTATATGGCTCTATCCCCAGGAGAAAAAAAAACAAGATCTCCCCATGTTTCCGACAAACATCACCCAATTCTCCCCGATCACATCACGATCGGATCTCTTCCCTGCTAGGCTGAGACAGGCATCTTTGCCATTCACAAACTTGGTGCAGAGTTTTCCACCCAGTCCTGGCCACATGATCGCAACATTTCCTGTTGGTTGTTAGTTGTGAGGCCATAAATTTCAGATGCACCCCTTCAATCTAGCATAATCTAGCCTCAAGCTTTTGCTGCATTGCTGGCGAAAAATGTCTAGCACAGCTCAAATCATCAAATCAGATGAAAGCATTGTTCTTAGCAGTTCTTGGATCTTTCATGATTTTTCTGTGCCCCGCCCCCCCCATCTCACCCAAACCCATTCCATTCCGCCTCTACTCTCTTGAATCAGCGTCACCCGCATCCCGGCATCACATAAGCGCCGGCAGCAGCCAAGCCCCGAAGGGCCACCACCGATGACGCACACCGCGGGCGCGTTCGAAGGGGCGGTGCAAGGCTCCGTGATGACTGGGTCCTCTTGGTATTTCACCGTTCCTAAGCAAGGCATGGGTTTTGGCCGTTCCTCGGGTTCCACGAGGCCCAAAAAAGGGATGATTGATATGACTGCTCAAAATCATCAAAGTGTGTGCTTTTCTGTTTCTGGACCATAAAATTTGCCATGCCCATATGACTTGACTAGCTTGGATGATCATGGAAGAAATCGCGAGTTTAGCAGCGATCAAATGCTGAGATCAGGGGCTCGGGGGTACAAGTCATTATGGTTGGAATTTATGGCATCTAAAGTAGGTAATTACTGTTTTCATTCAGGACAGAATTATCAAACAAGACAACAACTATATACATTATATACAGACACGTACATTCATACATTTATATACAAATATAGACTTTGGATATAGAGATATAGATGCAAGGTCAGAAGATATTATCAGTTTTTTTTCCGTGACTCTATCAACAAGGAGTGACTCTATCAACCAAAAGTCTGACCTCCAGCCATGACTCTCTCCACGTAACCAGCTTTTTCCTCGGCATCGCCAGCCTCCCGTCGCCGTTGCCAGCGGCGCTTGGGGTTGGGAGCCCCCGAATCCTCCATATGGCTCAGCTGGAGCTACCTTGAGCACCACAGCGAGCTGCCAGCGCAGCCCCGTAGACCCTGCTGTCTGTGGTAAACGTAGCACCACAGCAAACTGGAACATCAACATTTTTGTTAGGTGAGTCAACTATTTTTATGGCCATTGTCAATAGCTATGTTGAATTACTAGAGGGTACACTTTGTGGTTTTTGCTGCCCGTCCTCGCCGGAATCACATGTTTGGTATTGGGCCCTATGAGCGTCTACTCTCTGGCATCATGGGTGCCGGGATAGTCATGGCAGCATGACCTCTTTCAATGTGCATTTTCTTCAAGTTGAACCTGAGAATTGGCAATTTAACCTAATTTTAACCAGCAAAATGTAAGATATGATTTGGGTATGAGTTCTTTCACCCTGGTGCCCTGCTAACACCAAAAGAGCTGTCATGAATCCCCCAAAATCAATTTCGGAGGCGAGGAAACCTCATAGGTATTGATTCGTTTTGATCCATCATCCATCCCCATTTCAGCAAGTAAAAATCTGAGACGTTAAACAGTTCATTACGCGTGTACTTGAACATCTTGAACTAGTGAGGCATCGAAAATATATCTATAAATGCTAATTTGAGGTAAACATGGTAAACCCAAGAAGTTACATGTTTATACATTTTTCACCCCAAGTCAGCAATTTTTATGGCGTGACCATCCCCAGTCATGGTAAGTTTAGGGCCTCTCAGGCGCCGGCGCGCCGGCGCCTCCACACTTGGTCCATGCCGCAGATCCACGCCCCCCATGAAGGAGACTCGGTACCAAGGGTAGCGACCAGCCTGGCAGGGAGTCGAGGTTTTAATGGTGTTGAAAAAAGGGGGAAATTAAGCATCATGGGTTATAGATAAGTATAGTGGATTATAGTTTCAATTTACAATGGAGATATTTGGATATACCTTCCGGCAATCAAATGTAGATGGCTGAAAAATCCTAGGTTAAATGGGGTTTTAATAGGAAAATCTTCTATAAAAGGGTAGAAGATCCATTGCAATGTTTGATGTCAAATGGGATTTGACGAAAACAAATCAGGTTCAGCAATTAACATTGAAATTGACCCATATATGTGCAAAAAAATTATGTCACCAATGAAACTAGTGTTTGAGCAATAAAACCAACGAAACAATCGACTTTACTTCAAAAGGATGGGAATGGGGATGCCCCATATATGAATATGCTGATGCTTTATCATCACTTTCATCACAAAATACGCCATGTGTCGGGGAATACAACCCATTTTTGGACAGAACCCATCTCCCATATTGTTGGTTCTGTATCCCAATATTATATTCCCATTATTTCCAACATATCCTAAAATACCTAACTATATACGTTGAAATAGCTTAATGCCAGGTTTCGTGCTTGGAGGATCAGCAAAAAAACTCGCAACTGCTTTCTAAGCATAGTTGTACATCATTATGCTGAATGAGAATCCGCCCGATGCGAAAGTGCCCAAAGGTGGTGGTACAAATCGGCCAACTTCAAGGCCCACAAAGACCCCTGGCTCATCGCTCCCGTGGCATTCATCCAGGTGCTTTCTCATGATAACATAAACATGTTTCATTGCGTAAATCCCAATAATATAATGATCTATCGTATTCTATCCCATTAAGTCCCATGAATTCCGGGAAAAAGATCCAACATCTTAGCTCCACATTCATTGCATCCACACCTCGCCCGCGAAGGCCGTGGAGGGTGCCACCATGGTCAGTGGCCTTGGTCACCGTTTTTGTTGGACCAGTGGAGCATCAAAAAGATGGCTAAAGGATGGCTACAACCATCAAAAACATGGGCATTTACCCTCTGGTAAACCAACATAACTATGGAAAATCACCATGTTTAATGGGAAAACTCACTATAAATGGCCATGTTCAATAGCTTTTTGTATGTTTACCAGAGGGTAAGATGGTTTAAGCATCAAAAATCCGCCAAACAACCGTCCCGAAATGGGGAGGAAGACAACCATCAGGCGGACCTTGGGATGCCATCGACTGCCATGAATCCCTTCTCCCCCGCCCTACTGAAATGTTCAGCAGGATCTACAGGATCTACCCTCTGGTTATGTCAAAATAGCTATTGAAAATTGCTATTTATAGTGGATTTTCCCATTAAAAATGGTGATTTTCCATAGCTATGTTAAATTACCAGAGGGTACAGGATCTACAGAATTGGAGGCTCATTTCAGGGGACTATTTTCATCTGCGGATAAGGATCGACATGGATCGACTATCGCTGCAGAACCGATCACCCTTTCTGCCTATGAAAATGTTACACCCATAGATCCGTAGAAATTCTGTACCTCCAACAACTAGGTACAATTATGCAATTACGCTTTTGGAGGATTATCCCACTTAGTTGAACAACCTTAGTTCGTAAGTGCCTGGGCCGGGTTGGCGAACTAACCAGTTACGTTCACCAGTCACCAGTTACGTGGGATGATCCAAGTAGTTTTATGTTGTCATATTCCATTAACCCATGAAAAAAGCCATTGCATTCTACCAAATCACCATTAATTCACCATTAAATGACCATTAAATCACCATGAAACCAGGACTATTTTTGCCCAACTGACACTGACATAGAGCGGAGCGGCTGTGTGGGGCCTCCTGGAGGTGTTGGCCTGGCGAAACAAAATTGGGGAGATTCGCAATATGGATAGTATGTAACATTATATATAGATATAGATATTGATATTGATATTGATTTTAGATATTAGATATTAGATATAGATATACGTGTATATGTATATATAATTAGTTAAGTGAATATACTGATTTATGTAGATGTATGTATGTGTATATATTGTATATATATATATATATATATGTTAATAGTGAATATACTGATATATGTGACTCTATATATATATATAATGTATTGATGTTATATATAGATATCATATATATGTTAATAGTGAATATATTATTGATATACTTGTATGTATATAAATAATGTATTGATGTTATATATAAGATTAGATGATATGTAATATACTGATATATGTATATATCATGTATTGATGTTGTACATATATATATACACAATATCATATATAGATATACTTCTATTTAACAAGTCCTATTTAGTTCAAGACTATACAATACAACGACTTAATTAACAATACTTCCATACAAGCCCATCAACTCAATACAACCACAAGAATTTTGAGCTTGGAGCTGAATTTGATCCCTAACGAGGCATGTGACGTGATGAATTCATTGGATTGCTTGGAAAAAAGGGGAATTGTCAATGGGAATTTCAGGTACTATACATACAAGGCCATATGTTGTGGGGAAAATGCTGTACATAGCCCTGAAATTTAGGCCTCAAATTTGGTAGGTAGGTACCTCTTTTGTCAAGGTCCCTGAAATGGCCATTGAACTTGTGGAATTCATCATCTAAGTCATCTACAAGCGAAGTGCACGCAATCCTGTTGTATCCTAATGGGCACCGAAAAAAATATCCCGGGTCCCAGCTGGCAACGTCCTTCTTTATGCGATCATGGAAAAAAAACATGGAGATGGGTCAAAAATCTTGAGCCAGCCCAATTGAATAGTCTAGAACAGCTGCAGGACAGCGGTTCACATGCTGAAACATGCCAAGTTTGACCCTGCCGGGGGGTGAGCACCGTTCATTTGAGCAGGAAGCATGTTGGGCAACCTTGGCTCGGTAGAAGATCCCCACCTCAACTAGGCCTGGAACTCAACTAGCGGAATATGATGCATGATATGGGCAAACCATGGCAAACCCATATATATATACATAGCTACGGCCTGAATGAAACAAAAGAACAACGGTAGCGACACATATGATGACAATACGTTGCAATCTATCAAGGATGGGGGTTCAGTGAGATCCAGTACATACCCGTCGTCAATGATGGAGATTTACAGTTGATTTATGATGCTCCAGTCGGTTCACGTAGTGTACACAAAAAAGTACACCAAATGGTTTGTGCATATCTAATCTATGCTAGATATGAAAGAATATCCCACTAGTCAATGGGATTCGTAAACCACGTTACAACTCGACAGTACCACCTTGTAGAGGATACATCAGTCCACTTCTCACAGTCACCACAGTAGTCACTTAGCCATGAAGTCATCACCACGAGGTCACTAGGCTTCCACACAGACAAAGCTCGGGCTCGCTGAATTTTGGGTCCCTGTGGATTTTGGGTCGCTTTTCCCACGTTTGAGCCGCAACTCCATAGATGAGCAGAATAAATTGAGAGATAGTTAAAGATATTATTATGGTTTCCAGTTTCAACGCATACCTGTCGAGATTTGACAGGGACAAAAATACGAGTAGTGATAAACCATTTGGGCACCAGCCTGGTAGCCGTTCTTTCTCATCATTTGTGATCAGTTTAGGGGTAAACTATCTTTGTAGGTAAATTATAAAACATGATTTGGGCACCAAATCCCACCATAAAATGAGGGCACTAAGACCATCGAGGTAAGTAACCACAAAATGAAGCCCGGTTTCTGTTCAAAATAACCAAAATAACTGGAGAAGAAGAGTATAGAATAGTATTATTGAACCCCTCAAATTTATCGAAAAGTAGAGTTTTGAAAAACACAACACAACCTCCTTTCAGAACTCCGGCAGAGGGTTCCTCCCTAAATCCTCATCACTTTTCCAGCGCAGAAGCGTGGACCAAAGTTAAGATCAGCATCTTGGAGATCTTCTCCTGTCAATGGCTACAATGTTTTTTACCCATTTTTATAGGGATATTCACAGACATACAATCGATACATGTGTATATATAATATGTATTTATGAATATATATTGTACAGAGTACACCAGATTTGTAAGGAATATGGTATGTGGTTTTGCCTGAAAAGGTCTGAAAAAAAAAAGAAAAATCCAGCCAGGCAAATCATCCGAATTTTGACCCATGTCCAGGGGAGGGAACCAGCGGAACGAAGTGAGGAAAGGGCGGAGAAAGAGTGGAAGTTTCAACAAGGAAATGCAAAGAAAGGCAATGGCTATAGCGGCTATGGCAATCCCCAAAAAAATGCAGAAAGGCAAAATCCTGCTATTATAAGATATCGTGCGAAGTATTACTTTTCTATCTTTGTTGGGATACTTTGCTGTATGAATCTTGCTTTTCCCAAAATGCAGCCCGTGCATTGCGTGCTTCTAACCGTGCCGTTTTGGTAATCTGGCAGTAAAGAAACACGCAGTTATATAATCACATGTTATAGATTGGCAACCATCTTACCAGTATGGGGGTATACTGGGATATGTTAACTAACAATATGGGATATGATGGGATATGGGTTTGTCTGGATGCGTGGTATACCTCCTTTTTTCACGCCCATGAGCTAATTGGGGAAAATGATGTTTTAAACCATGAAAATTGCTGGATATCATCTCAGGAATCTTGAGGCTAATCATGATGGGTCCGTCCTTGAGAAGAACAGCCAACCATTTAGTAAGCGATGGTGGAACAACTTCCTCATAGATAACATATTGGGATTTCGTGGGTCCCTAGTTGTTCATCGAACTATCATGATGGGTTCCACAATTTCATGGATCGTTTTTGGTGATCCTAAAGTCTGAAAAGAGCGAGGGAACATGGCTAAGTACCGTCTCAACGGATGGTGCCCAAAACAGGTGTTGGGAAACATCTTCAATCGCTCTAAAAGGTGATGCTTAGCAAGGAAACTAGCAGGAAACCTGATGTGACAACGCCACTACTTGGGTTGTTGTGTTTGCCGTCTTTTGCTCGTGAATCTCCATTTTTCTTATTGATGGAATCTCCAATTTCTATTGTTCAACATTGCAAGCTTTTGTTGGGTAGATCCGAATTCGCGTCGCTTGCAACACCAAAATCATTGTTTAAGTACGTTTAAATGTTAAGTCTACCACCTGGTTATTTAACATAGCCATGGAAAATGGCCCATTTATAGATGGTGAACAACTGGGTTTACCTATTAAAAATGGTGGATCTTTCCATGGCGAACTGTTAAATAACCAGAGGCTAAATGCTTAATTTTGTTGGTTCAATGCCGCTTTCCGTCCAAGGTTCCCACCCTGCCACATGCGCCAGCGACCCCTCCCCCGGCAAGTTCCTTCCCTTCTTTGAAAACCACCTAGTCAGCACAGGGTGCCTATACCAGTCCGACATCGGGGATAGTAGATACAATGGGGATATCATGAGGATAGTCATAGGGGAATCCTGGGGATGTTAAATGGTCGATTTACCAACAAATGGGGATGTGTCAAAACCCTATCCCCCTGTAGTTCACATCAAAATAACTGGTAAATGGATGTTCATCCCTCTAAAAATGGTATTAATAGGTATTGATTCATAGCCATTTACCAACAAATCATTTGTACCCGTAGCCGGACCAGTGCCAGTCATCATGGCTTGGAAAGTCCCTGAATCCAATTGCTGGTGGATGTTCCGGGAAGCCATGGCATCATGGAGCTGATTGCTGGGCAAACTGCCGTCCTTGAAATGATGGTTTATGTTGGTTAATATACTGTTAATATCTGTTAATAATGGTTGTAATGGTTAATAATGGTTAATAATGGTTAATAATGGTTAATATATGGTTATTATATGGTTGATGATCGTGAATAATATGGTTTATCAATGATTGCTGGCTGGTGGTTGAGCCCTACCCCTCTGAAACATGATGGAGTTCGTCAGTTGGGATGAAATTCCCAATATATTGAAAAATAAAAAATGTTCCAAACCACCAACCAGTGTGTAATGGATGTGTCTTTTTTCTTGGAGTGTTTTGAATGGATTGTCTCTTTAACGGATTGCTTATACTCTAGAATTTTCAATGGTAAAGGGAGTTACAAATTTTACAATGGACATGTTAATGAAATGTTCGGTGGAAAATTGACAAGGGAAAAATTACGTTTGAAATTTGACCATGGAATTTTCAATGGATCTTTATACCATGGGTTGTTCCCTCAAATTGGAGTGTCACAATTTTGAATCGCATTCCCCAGGTTTAGAACCTCACATTTCCTATTATTTTCTGGGCATCAAAGGGAACCCACGTAGTGCAAACCTACTTCTAGAGAGTATTGATGATGGAAAAACTGATGTCTCCCCAACATCATCAAACCCCAAAAACAGGCATAAAGATGCCACCTCCCTGTTCCATGGATCAACCGTTTGGTGGCTACAACCAGGACCTCTTGTGCACTTGGTTTTGCTAGACGCAGTGTGAAACACCAAGTCAACCAATTCAGCATCAGAGTGGCCGGGAAAACTCAAAACGCATCCAAAAGGCAGCTGAAATGGTACTTGGGGAATTATCCCACGGATTGTACCTGGTGCTTTTTCCAACCCTGGTTAGTTCACCAATTCGTGGATTACTGTATCGTATCAAAATGGGGTAGGCCCCTATGGTGGTCCGCACCAGTTCCCATCCATCGAATCCTCAGGGACCCAGGGACCCTGCCTTCTTCTCGTGCAGTTTGGGTACCACTAGAAGAGGTGGCACGCCCACCTTGGACCCATGAACAGTGGGGGAATAGCCGAATAGCTTATTTAACGTACGGAAAATCAGGACTTTTAATGGGGTAAACTCATCTATAAATGGCTTATTTTCCATAGCTATGTTAGTCATAACCAGAGGGTAAATTTAGAGAACTTTTTGGTAACCAAGCCTGCCAATGGAAATTGACCACCTGCGACAGGAAAATAACATCTGTGTCTAGCTGGGGTTTTGCATGGCGGCTCCAGTCGTCAGGTTGGTCCGCTGAGAACGGGGCCAGATGCTCCTGTCAGTGACCCAACGCTGCTTATTAAAGGACCGTCATTTTTCAATTGGGGTGAGATCATGACTGGTTGGTGGTATACCCACCCCTCTGAAAAATATGAGTCAATGGGAAGGATGACATCCCATGTATGAAATGGAAAATAAAATAATTCCATGTTCCAGTCACCACCAATCACGTATTGATATGCAAAACCATGATATAAACCATAGATATTGATTATTGATAATACCATATTTTAATAATCAGTGAAATAGTACCATATAGATATTTAACCATGATATTAAACCATAATACCATATTATAATACCATAGATATTCATAATACCATTGTTCGTTGGTGAAATCAGCCCCTTTAATTGAAATCTCAGTGAAAAATTCCCGCAAAAAGCTGGCGAAATCGACCAGAGAAAATTTCATCAAATTCTGCTGCTGTCTGTTCTCGTGACATATCCCAATGGTTAGCTAGGTGAAAAAAAAAAAAATCCAGTTTTTGTAACGTAGACCCTGGCATTCATCGGGCTTGGTGAAGATATTTTTGTTTCCACTTAAAAAATGGCGAAGTGTTCAGGGTCGAACTGTTAATTTACCAGAGGGTAGCTGGGTGAAATAAGGTGAAACCACCATCTTCCTTCGTGAAGTCACCGTTTCTGACACCTGTGCACCGCGCAGGCCTTCTGCATGTCTTTGAATACGAAGGCTAAGGATTTCACTGCCAAGCTGATAGCAGGCCTCGTAATGTCTGCCCTCAAGATGGCGGAAACAGCAGCACTACGATGGCAGGGTTTATGGGGGTTAGATAGGGTAAAGCTTAATGTCTATAAATGGTGCCCTCAATATCTATAATTCATGGGGGTGAATAAACCAACTTTTAACCAGGACAGCATTGTACATGGTGATATATGCAGGAAGGCCGTGGACCCGAACCGGAACTCAAATAACCGGCCGCGGTTTAACCGAACCGAACACGAACCGAACCGTGAAAAAACCGAACCGAAGCTAATTCCTCTAACCGAACCGGTTAGGCAGGTTACATGTTTAATAGCAACACTACTACTACTACTACTACTACTACTACTACTACTGCTACTACTACTACTACTACTAGTGCTGCTACTACTACTACTACTACTACTACTAGTGCTGCTACTACTACTACTACTAGTACAACTTCTACTTCTACTACCACTACTACTACTGCTACCACCAGAGCTACTACTACTACTACTACTACTACACCAACAACAACAACAACTACTACTACTACTACTGCTACTACTGCTGCTGCTGCTGCGGCAACGCCTACTCATTGCACTGGTACTGCTACCAAGATGATGAATACTAGTTGCTACTAGCTTTGCGTTGCTTTAAATACATTCCAATATTTTTTTCTACACGCAGAATGTGAATTACAATGACCAAATTCAATATGTCTGCATTTCTCTTCCATCATGCGTACTCGTTACATCTAATGCTCCTTGTCCCTTTTTGTCGCAGCAATTGTCCACCGGCATCGAAAGGTGTCTGAAACAGGTCTGAAACAGCTCTGAAACAAGTCTAAAACAACATAACCGTCTCAGTCTTCCCCCCCTTGCCCTTTATAGTTGGATGGTTGCTTTCTTCCTATCGTTTCGACTTGCAAAGAAAGATGGCATCCTGACTGCTACCAC